GCTCCTGTGTCTCTACACTTGCTGAGGTATGCATTCTCCCTTACGATCTAATGACCTTACTTATGACTTGTACCATAGACTCTGTCTTATAGGTACAGCTAATGATATAGCTCCTGTGTCTCTACACTCGCTGAGACTCTGTCTTATAGGTGATCGCTACTGGTCGTATCTCCACTGCGCGGTATTGTCTGCGACAGGTTATGGGCCCCGCCTGAACCACTAGCGGCAAATCAAGAAACATCGAACTACTCTCTTTTACTAAGGCGAGTATCTTTCCCTCGTTCAGCCCTTCTAGAGCGCCGTCTTTGTGCGCTTGTCCCACTTGCTGGATGTCGGTCCTCGCATTTGTGCTCTCACCCTCAAGGGGTTACGCGAGCGGCGTCAGGGAGTCATTCAGTTGGCAGACGCGCCGTTAGCTATTCCGTCCATGATTGCTCGCGCGCGTTTTACGTTACATCTTTTTATTGTACAGCGGACATACCCACCAGGCACTGGTCCTTTGGTCAATCCCACTCCTGAACCTTGCGCGAAGCGCCTATGTGACAATCAACCCAAAAACAAAGTCGAAAAGAGAAGTGAATTCGAAGACTGGAGAATACAACCAGGTAGCTACAGTATTTATACCCAAATCCAGTCTGAGTCATATCTACAACTAATGAGTCATAAGACTATGTACCACATGGAACGCTGGTCATGGGTTGTAGTAGAACCTTCCGGAGCATATGTCGCGCAGCCTCGAATCGATAGAGATAACCCCTGGAACCCCTAGCCCGGACCGTCTGATGCCGTGATCCGTGATAAGATAAGTCGTGCCAAGATAAGATAAGATGTCGATGATAAGATGAAAAAGTGGTCGAACTATGACATTACCCCCTCTCTAGGGTCAATGTCCTCATCGACTAGGCCAATGGGCGTGAAGACATTCTCGTAGGGGTCGAAGAGTTGTCGTTCGGGATATGGAAGGCGCTCGTCCCTGGGCTTGTAACGATGAATGAGATAGTCCCAGTGTCCAGCTTTGAGCGTTGGCAGGAGGCGAATGCGTGTGTCTGGATTTGATTGTTTCCTCTGCCAGTCTCTCAGGACGTCCTTCGCGTGGGTAAGGTGACGTGATGGTTCCCAGGTGTTCTCGCTGTGCGGCCATCCCTTCCATTTGACCAAGTACTGTTTTCCTCGGCCGACTTTTCGTTCTTTCACGATTTCTTCGACTTCCCACTCCTCTGCTCCTCCGATCATCTTGGCTACAGGTCTCTTCTCTCGGCGATGGGGGGGTGGTTCATGATAAGGTGTCAGTAGTGACTCGTTGAACACCGAGTGTCTTCGGTCCGTGTCCGGCAAATCCAGCTTCCAAGCGGCCGCTCCAACCTTCTCCAGTATCTCGTATGGTCCCAATCTTTTGTCGCTCATCTTCTTCGATGGTCTGTCCGTCTCGATATTTTCCCCTTCTATGTACACCTTCATCCCAACCTTCAACTCCGGAACCTCTTTTCTTTGTTTATCGTAGTATTTTTTCATTTTTTCTTTTGCTTTTTCTAGTGCTGCTTTTGCTTCGTCTTGTATTTCTTTGATTCTTTTTACAAATTCCTCCGCCGACTCGTTTCTCGACTCCATCCGTTGCTCCACTCCCTTCCACGGGTGATATCCGTGATTTGCATAGAACGGCGACATCTTGGTAGACGTGTTCATTTTGTCATTGTATGCGAACTCCGCCATTCCCAGCCACTCCGACCAATCCGTCTGATGGTAGTTGACGTAAATGCGGAGATAGTGTTCGATCTCCTGATTCATGCGTTCGGTTTGTCCATCCGTGATCGGGTGATATGCGGTCCCCGGGTTCATTTCCACGCCCAACATCCGATTCGTCTCCTTCATGAAGCCCTTGATGTAACGCGAGTCCCTGTCGGTGATGATCTTGCGAGGGATCCCATGATAGCGGAAGACTCGGTCCCTGGTTAACCGTGCGACTCCTTCACTGCTGATGTCAGTACTAATTGGTTCGACATGGATCATTTTGGTGAAGGTGTCACACCACACATGGATTGCATCATACCCATTACTAACCGGCAGGGGTCCGATTTGATCCATCGAGATGATTTCCCACGGCGCATTTGGAACTGCATGCGGGTGTAGAGTCCCTGTCCTCGCTCTCCTGGTCTTGGTCCGTTGGCACGCCTCGCACGTCTGGATGTATTTCCGAATTTGGTTTCCCATCCTGGGCCACCAGTAGTTCCTTTCCACCATCTCCTGCGTTCGGTTGATCCCAGCGTGTCCGACCAACGGGGTGTCGTGGTGTAATCCGATGATCTTGTCCCGTAACTCCTCGTCTCTTGGTACATAGAGCTTCCCATGATATGTGATAAGCCCCTCTTCCTTCTTCCATCCGACGAGTGACTTCTCCAAGGCCGCCTTGACGCTTCCATCAATTGATCGAATGGCCTTGATTTCATCGATTAGCTGTTGATCCTGTCCCTCGAATGTGACTTCTTGTGATCGGAAGAACTCGGGCTTCAGTAGCGTGACGTCCTTGTTGTCGTTCTTGCCCTGATCGTGATCCGCTCATCGAGACAGGAGATCCGCCTTGCGGTTGAGTGCGCCGGGTCGGTGTCGTAAGGTGAAATCAAACTCCGCCAGCTCCGTGATCCATCGTGCTTGTCGTCGATTGAGCTTCTGCGGTTTTCGGAAGTACTCGAGATTCTGATGATCAGTGAAGATCTCAAATGTTTCCGTGGCTCCCAGGAGCAGCTGCCTCCATTCATCGAGTGATAACATGATCGCGAGCATTTCCTTGTCGTAGATCTCGTAATTTCGCTCGGTTTCGGTCAATGCGTGTGAAATAAATGCGATTGGGCGCCAAATGCCGTCTTGGTTTTGGCTCAGAACTGCTCCTGTTGCCCCTTCCGAAGCATCGGCTTCCAGACGATATTGGCCAGTGTCATTTGGCAGTGCTAGGACCGCATCCTCTGCGATTCTCTTCTTCAACCCATCAAATGCTGCACGCTCATCTGCACCCCATGCCCATCCTGCCTTCCCTGTCAGCCGTGTCAACGGTTTGGCAACCTCCGCGTATCCCCGAACAAAGCGTCGATAGAAGTTGGTGAACCCTAGGAAGGCTTGGACTTGTTTGACGCTCTTTGGTTCTGGCCATTCCATCACGCCCTTGATCTTGACTGGGTCCATCCGCATCGAATTGTGTCCAACAATCACACCCAAATATTCGATTTCCGTGCGTTCGAACTCGCACTTTTCGGGTTTCAGGTACAGCTTGTGTTTTTGGAGCAGTTCGAGTACTCGTTTCGTGATCCGCCGATGTTCGTCCAAGTTCTCTGTGAAGATCAGTATATCATCAAGATAGACTACCACGTGGCCCTCGTTGATCAGTTCTCGGAGTATGTCATTCATCATGTTTTGGAAGGTTGCCGGGGAGTTTGTGAGACCGAAGAACATGACCAAGGGCTCGTACAGTCCGCGGTTCGTGCGGAACGCAGCCTTCCACTCGTCGCCCTCTTTGATCCGTACGTTATTGTATCCCCACCGGATGTCGAGCTTGGTGAAGAACTTTGCACCGCATAGATTATGGACCAGTTCAGAGATCAGCGGCAGCAGGTACCGATTTCGGATTGTCATTTCGTTCAGCTTCCGATAATCTTGGACGGGGCGTAGCGAGCCATCCTTCTTTTTGACAAAGAAGAACGCTGATGCCATGGGTGATTTGGAAGGCCTGATCCGTCCGCTGGCCAGGTTCTCTTGTAAGAACTCGTCGAGTTTGACCTGTTCGTTTCGTGATAACGGGTACACCTTGCAGTCCACTGCTTTGGAACCAGGTTTGAGCTCGATTGCATGGTCCCATGCCCGTCGGTCTGGCAGCGAGTCGAACGATTCCTTGGCGAATACTTTGACAAATTCCCGATATTGATCCGGAATCTTCCCCTCGGTCATTCTCTCCTTCTCTTTTTCCGCTTCTTCTGCGAATTTCTGCGCCGGCGTTTCCTTCAACCGTAGATCCACCTCCTTCCCAAAGTCGATCAACAGGATTGACTCTCCCTCTTCCAGATCCGGTGCACCTGCGTCCAGGTCAATCGCATCCATGTCGATCATTGCTTGATGCTCCTCGTGACCCCTCATGTGACACCGCTCTGGGCATCGACTGAACCTCATCGTCTGCTCCTGCCAATCCACCTCGGGGTTGTGTTCCGTCAGCCAATCAAGACCGATGAAGATCCGAGCTTTCCCTAAACACGTCGGAAGGAACGTGCGTGTCTCCACGTGAGGACCGATTCTCATCCTTAGGTCGACGTAATGCGTGATCCGACCGCTGATGTTCTCGGTGTTGTCGGCGTTACGAGCCACAATGGGTTGGGGAAGTTCTTGGATATCCAGCTTCTCTGCCCGCGCGTAGTCGGTATCAATGCAGCAGGTGCTACAGCCACTATCGAGTAGCGCCTTGACTCCGCGCGTCTTCCCTGAGTCCAGGCCCGTGATCTGTACATACACATCCATCGAATGTCTCTTCCTTTCGGCCTGGTAGTTGCGCAGTTCCTGCGCCAGTCTGCTGGGTTGCGGGCCCTTCTGTCTCTCGGCTGCCCATTTCCTTTGAACGGCATCCGGCACCCTCGTGCGTTTGGGTGCTTCTGGAATCCTGATTTCGGCAGATTCCTTGGGCGCTTCCTCCTTTTTCAAGGATTGAGCCTCCGGAGCGATGCTCCCCTTTTCGGTCTTTGTTGACGTGGTTCCTTCTCCACGAGCCATAAATACGTAGGAGTCCAAAATTAATTTATCCGCAGCTTTCTGATCCTTTTTACTCTGTAAATACTCTCTATTTAAAGCTATTTTCTTTTGACGTTCCTTTTCCATATCAGCAACAAGAAAATCATGAATATTAGTACGTAGGGAGTCTGAGATCGTGTATGCATGAGGAGAATCGTTCATATCTCTAATTGAAACAAGTACAGAAAAACGTCCATAGTCCGGACGCTCCACCTCCTTGGCTAGAGGAGTGGAGCGCTTCAAAAACCCTTCTCGCGCAGTTTCTCAGCGATCTCCTTGAGGAACTCGTTGTCCTTGTCCCCGTTCTCGATCTCTTCCAGCATCGTGGCCCGATTGAAGAACGTGCGCTTCTTCCTTGGCTCCGGACAGTTCCGTGCAATGTGCCCAGGCTGCTGACAGTTGTAGCAGATGATATTGCGGCCGCGGGTGTGGGTGCGATCGATTTCCATCGGAACTGGTTCGTTGGCAGCGGGTCGGGCCGGGGCGGGTGCAGGTGTCGTTGGGGCTGCCTGCTGGCGGAATTGGGGAGGCGGTCGTGGTGCGGATTGCGCATGCGATGCTTTGCGCAGCTGATCGCGTAGAGCGTTCGCCTCGATGTTGACACACCAATTCTTGAAGGCACCATATGCCTTGGGCAGGGGAACGCCGGTGTTGTAGAGGCGGCTTGCAATTTTGCTGCTGAGTCCGCGCTCCAGGAACTCGATGAGGATATTGTCCTGTTCCCCCTTCTTGTACTCGCCCTTGCTGTCGGTGGAGGTGACCACGTTGTACCCTGCGTCTGCAGCCAGCATTTCGAAGTCGGAGATGTAGTCCGCAAAGGACCGTCTGCCCTGGCGAAGGGCCATGAGTCGGGCGGCAGCGACTTGCTCTGCGTTAGAATCCCCAAAGGCCCTCTGAAGCTCCTCCAAGAAGCTTGTTGCGGTGACTCCCGCCTTTAGTCCTTGGAAGCCCTCGAAATTGTGCTGCTTCCAGTTCATCGCCCATCTTGAGGCGGCGCAGCTTGTGCCGCTCTCATTGCGGAGGTAGGACAGGACGAAGAGGATTTTTGTCTCGTCCAGCGAGAACTCCGACCGATAGGCACCGATGTAAGTGGTGCACGCGTCCACAAAGCCCAGGTACTTGGACTTGTCGCCATCGAAGTAGGGGGGATTGGCGGCGAGGGTGATGCGGTGATGTCCTGACATGGTAGGAGCAGGTGCGGTAGGTGGGGGCGAGGGTGGTTGTTCGGAGGGTAACTCGTCAAGGTCGGGGAACTCGTCTTCAGGCGGCGGAAGGGCGAGGTAGGGGTTGGAGGATCCGGGTTGGTTTTGATGCGCCAGATCGGGCGACGATGGTATGATGGGGGGAGGGGATGGACTCCCAGATGACGATGGGAATCGGTACGAAATGGTGGATTCGTGTGCTGTACAAGCACTCGAGGAAAGGTTCTTTTGCTAGCAAAAAGATCCCGGGCCTAGCTCTTCACGTGCCCGATGATCCCGAGGTGCGTTTTCCCGAAGGTCTCCGCAGCACTCCTTGTAGCTACCGTAAGGCTTGGGTCGGGCTCAACGTTACCCGTGGCCTGGTGCTGTTTGCTCGATATGAACCCTTCACTGCGATAGTGGAGGACGACTAGATGATTCGGTAAAAGGGTAAGTTGGTTGATAAGGGTTAAGAGGATATAGCGGGCGTAGCGGTGCGGGATGCAGGGTAAGAGGTATGAGGTAGGAGGGTATGAGGGGAGTCTTCGAATTATGTGACAATCAACCCAAAAATGAAGTCGAAAAGAGAAGTGAATTCGAAGACTGGAGAATACAACCAAGTAGCTACAGTATTTATACCCAAGTCCAGTCTGAGTCACATCTACAACTGATGAGTCATAAGGCTATGTACCGCATGGAACGCTGGTCATGGGTTGTAATAGAACCTTCCGGAGCATATGTCGCGCAGCCTTGAATCGATAAGGATAATCCCTCGAACCCCTAGCCCGGGCCGTCTGATGCCGTGATCCGTGATAAGATAAGCCGTGCCGAGATAAGATAAGATCATCGAAGATAAGATGAAAAAGTGGCCGAACTATGACACCAAGTCTGCGGACCTGTTTGCGCTGTTCCAGTCGGCATTGGACGCGAAGTACAACGCCACCCTGCATCCGGATCCTCAGCTGCTGATCCCCGAAACCGCCTTCAAGCGTCTCGATGAGCAGGATTTGAAAATACCTGAGTTCCTCAAGGCGATGATCATCCTGAACGTCGCCCACATCTCCGCGGTGACCACGCATGTTCTTCAGAATACTCCGAAGGACAAGATGACGATCAAGGTTGTCCGTGAGGCTCTCTTGAGCTATTACGCTCAGAACCACGGCAACAAGAATCAGGTCACCAAGTTCAATACCAAGCGTAAGCGCGACGACCCTTCCTTCTCCAATCAGCAACAGGGCTCTGGCTCTGCACCCGATAAGGGTGATAAGGCTGATGGGAAGAAGAAGAACTGTCGAGGCAAGCGCAGTGGGAAGAACCAGGACAAGGGCAAGGGCAAGGCCGATCAAGGTCATGTCCATGGCGTCTCCGAGATAGCTGGAGCGATCACCATTGGTTCAATTGCTTCCCTCACTCTGTCTCATCCTGCGCCGACGATCTCGCATGTCACGCACATCTCTTGCGATGGACCCAAAATCCGCGCGGTTCAAGAGAAGTCTCCCGTTAACAACAATGGGATTATTGACACCGAGTTCCAGAAGCCTACTTGCAAGGTCTTTGAGCTTGCCAAGAAGATGGACGTGACGGTGACTGCAGAACGCTTCCGGACTCTCGACAAGATCGTCAATGAGAAAGGAATGCTCCGCGAGGACGCAATCATGCGTTCTCCATCTCCAGTTGCTTCGGGCTCGAATCAGACACTGGATGATGGTCCCCTGACCAAGCGCAGTTGCATCGAGGAAATCCCCAATGTCGAGATGGCCACTGGCCAACAGAACGATCTTGATCTTCTGTTTGGAGACAGCAAGTTCGCCCAGGCTGAACCGGTCAACTGGGATGAGGTCGTCGACTTCAATACCCTTCTGGAGGAGATGGACGCTCCTTCCGCCGAAAGGCAAGTACCCTGCCTTCTTGGGCATATGCACAATTCTGATTGTTGCTCACAGCCAGAGCGCGTAATCACCGCCGCCCCGGGTTCTGTACTTAATTCGTTGATGATTCAATCGCATGATTTTTGTACCAATCTATTCTGTATGCACTCCGATTTTGCTGCCTGCTCTAAGTGTAAGGGGAAAAATCATCATCATTATGAATTAGGGCCTCTATGGCTCCTCGATTCTGGTGCATCTCTCCATGTGACATCGGAGATTAGTGATCTGGTCGGATATGAGAAGCTCTCAGATCCTATTATTGCTCAGACCGCTGATAAGAACACACGTGTTGCCCTTATTGGTCGAGGAACAGCCTTCATCGATCATTACATCACAAGGCATGGAGAAAAGACTATGGTGACTTCTCAGATATATCCAGTGTACCTAGTGCCAGGATTACATGGTCGTCTCATGTCTTTGGGCTCCTTACTCAAAGGAGGATCTCGCGTTTGTGGAGACGAATCGCGGATCAGCTTACATCGAGGGAAGTCCCCACTCTTGATCATGGAGTTTGGAACTCTAGGGAAGGACATTGCCTTGTACTTCCTGATGTCGAAGCCTAGTACGGCTGAGACAGTGCGATCCATGTCCACTGTTTACAAGGTGGATTATGAGATCATGCACCGGCAATTTGCACATCCGTCGAAAGACGTTTTACGTCAGGCAAAAAAGAATACCAAGGGCTTTCCAGAAGACCTAGTACTTCCCAAGGAAACCCAACCATGTAAAGGATGCGCACAAGGGAAAATGCACCAACGTGCCTTCCCGCCTTCCGAAAAACGAGTGGAGAATCCGTTTGATTTGATCCACTCGGATCTCAAACAATTTCCCACGGTGTCTTATCACAAGTACCGTTACTTCATGAGCTTCTTCGACGAAGCACTCTCCTATGGCTGGACAGTATGCCTTGCGCAGAAGTCCGATGCCAAGCAGGCTATGCGCAATTTTATTGCGATGGTCAAAAACCAGTTCAATGTCACCATCAAAAAGTGGCATATTGACAATGGGGGAGAATTCATGGGAATGGGAATGGAAGAATTTCTCGCGGAACAAGGAATTCTAGTGGAGAAGGGTGCTCCATATGCTCATCAGCAGAATGGGCATGCCGAACGCTTCAATCGTACGATCATGGATAAGGCAGAAGCCATGCGCTTCACTGCCTGTCTTCCTAATTCTTATTGGGAATTCGCGATAAAGCATGCGACACGGATCTACAATATGACACCTATCAGGCGTCTAAAATGGAAAACTCCATTTGAAGCTCTTCACAAAGAAAAACCGGATGTTTCTGAACTCCGAGTCTTTGGTTGTGCTGCATATGTCTTTATCCCTGATGAGAAGCGCGCCAACAAGTTATCGCCCAAATCGGAGCTGATGACCTACTTGGGCATTCCTGATGGTGTGAAAGGATTTTTATTCATGCGCACAAACAATTCCACGTTCGTCGCCACCAAGGCATTGTTCGATGAGGAGTTGTTCCCTCGCTGTCCTGACAGCAATCGACCACCCCACGTTCCAGTTGGAGAAGAATTTCCAGAACGTGATGACCCAGTGAATCCACAAGATCCACCACAGGTAGACGGAGAAGATTGGCTGTATGGAGATAATCCTTTTCCATTCCCCATGCCATCTGATCCGGCTCCACCACCTCCCGTACAAGGAAATGATGATGGTGACGACGGTCATAATTGTCAGGACCCACCGCCAGAGCGTTGGGATGAACCTCAGAGGTCTCGTAGGAGTAGAATTCCACGACCAAGTCAGGCAGCTTCACCAACTCCTGAGCCTCGAAGGTCTTCATGCCAGCGGAATGTGCCTACACGTCCAGGAAACGTCTATGGGGAAAAGCGTAACCCTACGGACATAGTCCGTGATATCCAGAACAGCAGAGGCTGGAAGCGGTATGTTGGTGAAGATAAGGGTAGCTCCCAATCTCAACCATCGACCGGTGCTGATGCAGGGGTTCCCGGCCCTAGCTCGCAACCAGATTCCTCAAACGCGGGTGCTTCTGATAATCTAGATGAGGATGCACGCATGGAAAAGCTATGCCGGGAAGGGGGAGTAGAGCTCATCACGGCGCTGTTGTCAAAAGCAGTTCCAAATGAGAACCTACCTGATACGTCCAAAATTCGCGATTGGACGTTCCGCGATATCAAGTGGTTGCCTTCTGAACAACAGAAAGGTTGGATTGATGCTTGCCGCGACAAGTTAGACGCACTTTGTCAGCGCAAGCTCTATTCCCTTGTGGACCGTCCAAAAGGACGGAAGGTTATCAGATGTTGCTGGGTCTTTGACCAAAAATCTGATGGCCGAAAACGTGCCCGCCTAGTTGCCAAGGGTTTCAGTCAAGTCGAAGGTGTTGACTATGACGAGATATTCTCTCCTGTCGTCAGGTATGAGACGTTCTGGTTGGTCATGGCGCTTGCAGCGCTAAATGATTGGCATTGGTCTGGACTCGACGTCAGTAAGGCTTTTCTCTATGGAGAGCTTGACGAAGAGGTCTACATGGAACAACCCGAAGGCTTTGTGGCGAGAGGCCAAGAGCGCAAAGTCATGCGCTTGCACAAGGCAATCTATGGACTCAAACAAGCTGCTTTAGCATGGTGGAGAGCGCTGACCAAGTCCACTAAAGCCATGGGCTGGATCCGACTGACATCGGATGCCGGCGTGTTCTTCTACAAGGACTCAGATGGCAGCATAGCCGTCATAATAGTCTACGTGGATGATGCACTGTTCTTCTCCAAGAACAAGAAGCTCCTCGCCTTTCTCAAGGCTGAGTTCAACAAGCGATGGGAATGCCGCAATTCTGAAGATACTCCAGAGTTCTTGCGCATACGCCTCAGTAGAGTAGGATCTTCGATCAAGATTGATCAGATTCCCTATCTTGACAAGGTGCTAGAGCGTTTTGGGATGCAGAACGCCAAGTTCGCAGCGACCCCTCTACCGGCTGGATATGTTCCAATGCCAAATGAGGATGAAGTCAATCCAGAACTCAGGAAGAAATTCCAATCAGTAATTGGATCTCTTCTCTTCATCATGCTAGGCACACGTCCTGACATTGCATTTGCTGCGACCAAATTGTCACAATTTGCCGCCAATCCATCCCAAGACCACCTCCATAAAGCGCTGTATATCTGCCGCTATTTGGCTGGTACTAGAAATTATTCGCTCATTTTCAATGGTGCAACGGATAGAGGGCTAATTGCATTTAGCGATTCAGACTGGGCTACTGATCCGATCAAGAGGAGGTCTACCACTGGTTTCTTCACGAAATTGGCAGACGGGATTATTTGCTGGCAGTCTAGACTTCAGCGCACCGTCGCGCAGTCTTCAACCGAAGCAGAGTACATGGCGATTTCAGATTGTAGTCGCCAGGTGATGTGGCTGAAGAGCGTCCTTTCAGAACTCCAGTTCAAGCTCACCATCCCAGTACCCATTTGCGGTGACAATCAGGGTGCACTCTTCAGTGGCAGCAATGCCTACCGAGACCGCAGGATGAAACACATAGACATCCGCTATCACTACATTCGTGAGCGAGTCGAGGAAGAAGAGGTTGAACTGTTCTTTATTCCGGGCAGTGAGAATCCTGCAGATATGTTCACCAAGAACCTAGGACGCGTCAAGTTCGAGAAGTTCAGATCTCAACTAGGACTTGAGTTCAACTCGTCCTGAAGGAATGGCCAATGAAGATTTCGCTTTCAAACACTATCCCATGGTTTTCAGCGTGGGGGAGTGTTGATCAAATATCATCTGTCAAGATGGATGTCGTGATACATATCTATGACTCTATCACGTGTCATCTAGAGTCATATCGACTCGTCCCAAATAGATACAAACAGCCCCCTGTATCATATATAAGGAGGGCTCTATTACCCTTTAATACAAGTCTCTTGACTACTCCCGCATAGTGCCCACACTAAACTCTCACTCACACAGGTGAGCTGCTAGACGCTCTCCCCAGTGCTCAACACCACTCAACACTGGCAATGTGGAAGGCAGTGAGATATGACATCAATCCCAATAAGGAATTGGTCTGCATGCTCCTAAAATCACTGATAGATCACATCCCATACATGATTCATGTTAGCTACTATCTTGCGCTCTCATTCACAAGGGCAGCTCTATTGGGTCAGTTTATGACCTCCTATGAAGAATTCTGTCCAAATATGTAGTGGTTGTCAAGTTATAAATGCGTGACATATCCTTGTGACCCTTTTCTGATTGTTGTATTTCGACATTTTGGGCCAAATGCTGTAAGGGCAACCTCGAGGCCCGATCTCAGAGTCCTGACAAGGGAGAGTCCAAAGCGTCAGATAAAGGGATCGACTAATACAGGAGACTGGCAAACCTGACAAGGGAGAGTCCAAAGAGAAACTGAGTTGGGGACTCTCCTTGTCAGGGCCCACTATATATAGCCTACAGAACACTGGATGACCAAGCACAATGGAAGTGCCAGACAATGGGGCCGGGGAACAATGAGGGGCCGGATTGGGGAGAACAATGGGAGCCGGGCCATCGGAACAATGGGGGCCCGGGCCAGAGGGTCATATGGACACGCTTGGCAGGGAAGTCTGGACCAAAGCATGTGACGCCTGACAGATGGCATGGGCGCGGTCACATGCAAGATCCCATGATGATTGGACAAAAGCAGGGGTTCCCCTGACAAATGCAGCAACTTGAAGAAAATGACCATTGAGATTTGAAACAGCATGTGACTACTGTACTAACGCGACCGTAGAGTCAAGTCACCAGTCACCGGGACCTCTGACTTGACTCATCTCAGGGTCTGTTACTGGTCACCAGCTGGCTTGACTACTGACACACTTCATTCAAGAAAAAACATTTTTTCAGACAAATTTTACTGAATTTAATTGCACTTGAGCTACTTGCTACTGATTGTGTACAATGTAGCAGATAAATCCACCAAAGAGTTGACCACTTGTGGCCTTTCAGATGTGCTCCTGCGACCATCAGTTTGATGGTTCTTTGATGGGTGTCACCGGTGACCGGCAGGCTTGACTGATGACACGTTTTGTTGATGCATGTCACCGGCTACCCCCCTTGACTCTACGGTTGCGTTAGTACAGTATCACATGATCTTTCATACACATGATGTTACTGTATATAGCACCCACTCACTGATGAATTGGGTAAATTGGTCAGTGTTGGTTTAATAGTAACAGAGAATTACATTAGGAGCCGCTTGGACCTTCCACTGGACCTCTCAAGCTCAGAAATGTGCTTAAAATGGTGAAACTTTTGTTTGGAAGGTCAGATTTGAAACCGTGACATGTGACAGTAACAGCTTACATAAAGGTGCTGGGTTCCCACAACCTCCACCTTAGTAGAAAAGCCTCCCTTCAAACACCCTATTTTGGCTTCAGAACACAAAATGGCCAACTACGTAGGGTGGCTCATTGCCCAGTCACATATAGTAAGTCATTCTAACAAAGCTTCTGCGAGATCCTGTGAGATTGCTTGGTATTGATTCAGTGAATTCGAGCTCAGGGAGTCAGGTGACAGGCGTCATAGCTCAGCTGGGAGAGCGATAGACTGAAGATCTACAGGTCGCGTGTTCAATCCACGCTGATGCCAAGGCGTTGTTTTGCCCGTGACCCCTGTCTTTCGGACTGCTCTTTTAGCTTGCCAAGTGCGAGCCGTTGGATAATGCCTTCCTTCCTTCCTTCCCAAGCCTCACTTGCGAATGTGTACGACTCTGTGCAACCTTTGGGACGTATAATTAAGCCATCGTCCTGTTTTATTCATCCGTTCACAGTTTGAAAACATGTCTCCGCGCCGCAGACTTGATGAGTCAGCGATCGAACGCCATGACCCGAGGAAGTACAACTCAGCCAGAAATTCACCGTTCTGTTCGTGTTCTCGTCGGACCAGAGCATGAATGAGTGGGCAATGGCAGCTTTCATTGGGAACATTGTGGAGATTGAGTTGGACAAAATTGTTCTCTTGAATGTCATGCCAATCATCGGGGAAGGTGGCCCATTCCACAGTATATGCTAAGACGTTGCGACGACGCTATGGAGACAGACATCCTCGGATGTGGCTGTTGTTGAATCTGAGGCCTACCACGGTCCCGTGACTGTCTGTCGCGCGACTCCGGACGCGATGCCATTGATATGATGAGCCATGAACGTATATAGTGCCATCCCGTGTAAAACCATACATCTGAGCCTTCGTTTTTGGAATCTGCATGTAACTGCGATTGCCAAGCTGAACGCGAAAAGAGAAAGACTGCGCTGTTGCGAACCGGACGACCGACATTTGGTAACATCCGAGCGGCGCCGGGGCCCGGGAGGGGTCCCTGGCATAATTCTCTCAATGTTCTAGATCAGAGCACCGACAACCATGGATGCTTACACACCCTATGGTGCGACTGGAACCTTTGGAAGCAGAGCCCGAGCCCCGGATTAGGCTGCAGCCCCACGCACGGCGAACATGTCCGAGGCAAGCACTCCATCGTCCACATGTCCAAAAGCCCGGACTGAAACGGCCTCATCTGGCATTCGTTGGTCTGGAGATGTGGAGGTCGATCACGTTGTGGTGGGCCTGCAAACTACGGACGACAGCGCTTCTCTTCCGGGCAGCAGCCACACGAGGTTCGGGGCAGCTGACATTTGAAACCGGATCTGAAGCTCGCACACGAGATCGTGCACGCACAGCACGACATGGCGACAACGGGACAGTAAACCAGAGGGGAAGCGAGGCGACCTGCGATTTCTCGATAACCCTGATCAGGCGGCTGACCGCTAGATAGTCCGCGCGGCAGGTCCGCCGGCAAGTAATTAGGGTGGACAGACGGATCATGCGATGTGGTCCGTTCGAATAGGACTTCTTCGGAGAAACATTTCGCCCTACCTGGGCACGGGCGGGACTCGACGTCTCTCGTGTGACGCGGAGCCGCACAAGGCCCACCGCCGTGGGCGCAGCGGCCAGTGCGTCCATTGCTGCGAAGCGCGGTGTCTGTAGGGCATCCGGATGAATCATTCGACTTTAGGCGTGCGGGGCCCGAGACAACCTTGAACGTCGTCTTCTCATGCATGAAGCCACGTGGAATAACTTAGTCTCCGGGCTTCGTCCGGCTGCAGGTGAAACAACATACGGTAAATATGGCGTGCGTACGTACAACGATGGATGGGTCAGTCGGTGTCCCCATTCAGTAAATCTCCACAAGGAGCTACAGATCAGGCCTGAATTGATCAGGCTTCAACTTCTCCTGGATCTCATGCCATGATTCACCTAGAGTGCTCACGTTGCTCATTTCAAGGTTTCGGCTATTCGGAAAAAAGCAACCGGTTCATATCCGGAGTACACTCAATTTCTCTATTGCAGGAAAGCGACCTGAGGAAAACGAGAGAAAATGACTGAGTAAGCATCACGCTAGCGATCTCAAGTTTGATCACCACGGCTTGACCACCAATTATTGAGTAGACCTAATATCACAGCAACACGAGCACACTCCCGGAACATCTAGAACGAGTGAAAAAAAACAGCGCGCAGCTGCCGCAGCCCTGCTGCGCGATCCTCTCGTGCCCGGTCGAGCCCGCCTTCCTGAAGCGCGGCACTTCGAATAGACCGCACAGCGTGATGATGCGCGCCATGTGGCTTTTGTGCGCGTAGCGAGGGGCGCGGTGCAGCCAAGCCTTCCCGCCTGCCTCGCCGCAGAAATTTCACTTTGGCGAGTGTGGTCAAGACGGGTGGGAAGATCTGGCTGGGACGTTTACAACATATGTCGTACGTACGTACATGTGTGTGCGCCCGGCCGCCGAGAAGTGGTGGGGCAGAATACCGTCGTCCATAAGGGTCAAGGTCTATCTTGATGATGGAAATTTACTAAGTGCTGGGGGTCCTGGCACTCCGTGACCCTATGCCTCATATCTGCTTAGTGAGGTGATATCGGGAGACATTTTTCGGTACAGTGAGCGCCGTCGTCGTCGATGGCAACGACGGCTTCTAGTAATTTCGCGCTGCAGAGTGATTTTTTTTTTCATTGTACAGTAAATATTAGTATGTTGAGAGATCCTAGGACCAATGCTTTAGAGGAAAAAGCATTGCCTGTCGGCTAATCTGAGGTCATCTCGTGAGTTTGACTTGTCGCGCGTCAAAAAGACCGGTTTGGGGTTCTTGACACCCTTGTCGTTGAGCGCTTGATACGGCGGGCAAGCTGTGAGCGCTTGAGCAGCCATCGCAATGGCCCATCGTCTGTGGAGGAGGGGGAGAGTCGGTGCAGGGGTCTTCGCGTTCTTCCGTGGGCAAATCAGACCTTGCCCTTGAAAAGTGATAGGGTCGTGTTTTACGGAGGGGTAATAAGAGTTGTAAAATTCTCATCGGGTTCGAGCACAGAGGGTGTGTACATATTTAACTGGGATATATATGAATGAGAGGTTGTAGCCGTACACACAAAGAACACATAGAGCGCACTGGTCCAAGCGCGACGCGACAAATAACGATGGGATGAAGAGATAACCAGGCGATGACTAACAACGAATGACACACCGAGGAGGGGCCTCGGTGTGACTGGAGATCACTCACTGCACCCCAGCATTGGATCATGATCGCACTTTCCTAAAACAGACCTTGACCCTTATGGACGACGGTAGCAGAAAGAGCTAGCAGTCTGGGCCGTTCACTGGGGCAAAAACTTTAGGCGAGTACCACAGGACAGCTGCAATGATGGGTTTCGGACATATATCACGCGTCCCCGCCGGAAGCGACGAAAAAATGGGAGACGATATGGTGCATTGGAGCGACTCTACGTACATGCATGTGTGCGTAAAGAACGATGTATCCGCCGCTGATTAGCCACTTGACCAGTAGAGTCACACGATAAACGGCATGCCCAGTGTTGGAGAATCACTCGACGCGCGGCGCTCCCTCGCACCTCCCACTGAGAGAAGAGAGGATTGGCTGAAAGTCGCTGCGCGATGACTGTAAGGAGAGCCCTCATTTCAAACTCCGACGGAATTTATACTGACTTAAGGCACGTGACTGGTCCGTGCGCGTTGATCTGATATAAATGGCACTTGCGCGCGGTTTGATCCCTTATCGAAAGTCACCTGGCGAGCTGATATTTGGGGTGTTCCTGTTGCAATACGGGGAGATCTTGAGCTCTTTTGCTTAGGGAGAATAATACTTCCTTCAAGTCCGTGCCACAATTTCTAGGCTGGCGGCGGCCCGTTAGGACGTGACACCCTTGCTCTACTTATTATTTTTGTAGTGATGCAGTACCGTACTCTTGGAATCGATGGATTCTCGAATGTTACGTTTGCCGTTCGCATATATGTCGTGTGCAAGTTTAGTTCAGTGACGATCTGAGACGTCACTATTGAACTTTCCCATTCTGGCAGCATGACTTCCAGGACAGTGTCTCGGCTCGGAACATGCGAAGTTATCTGTGACCACGAGACTAACCAAGTTCCGCCTTTCAGCTCACTGCTCGGACGCCGTCCTTATCCTACCGTCAAACAGACTTGCTGTCTGTTCGGATCCCACATCCTGGAGATGGGGCTGGATCCCCGTCAAACAGACTTTAAGGGATTCGGGGCTATTAAAAGCCAAGTACTTACCACGACTTGTGGAATTTAGGTCCATTAAAAGCTACAGCACATCCCCACTCTACGGGTGCTGCTGCATCCGTCCGAACAACCGCTCAAGTCTGTTTGACGGTCAGACGCGCGGATCTACTATCAAAAAAGCTACCTCCACCCGAACAGGCTCTTATGAATGTCGCCAAGCGCGCAAGGTCATTCCATCGATCGACGGGCGATTCACGTAACGCGCAGAAATGAATGAAAGCTCCATTTCGCGCGTCGACCGGGGCATCAGATATCAGAAAGTGTCGGCGGGCTCGCCTCGTCACGATTATATACAATCGCGTTCGCCGCTCATGATCCCTGCGATGAATTTCGACGGCGATCCTTGGCTCTACCTTGGCATTGGGAAGCGGTATTCAGCATAACGATAGGCAGGGAATTGCCCGGGGATTTGACATGGGACTGTTGGGTTGGCATTAGCGAAAGGAATATAACATCATCGATCGATCCTCGTTTTCGGAACTTTGCGTCTCGGAAACTCCGAGCTCAGTGTGAGTAGTCTCCCTCGCTTACCCTCCGGGCACTGCGATACAAATTTCACATTCATCACAAGAACAACTCGCCTGTATTTTTCATGACGGGGAGAACATGACGCTGGAAGGGCGAAGTGAAAAAACATGGAGACGGAGGCATTTCACACACGAAATTGATAAATTGATCACGTGTGAAACTCCGTTCATTGTTTTGCCCACAGATTGAGATCGTCACCGTAAGTCACACAAACTCCTTCAGCACCCGAGTTCTGTTCGGCACGCCCTTTCGCTGGCTGTGAAGTCCATGATCGAATTGTGTGTGTGTGCGTGGTGCTCCTTCATGATCAGCAACACCCACGCCCGGCTTGACGGTGGCGGATCGACGGCGAAGCTGACGTGGTGGGGAGATCCTCACATCTTCTGCCGCGCTCGGGCGCGAGGTGGATATTCTGTGATCCCTGGGAACGAGAATCGAGTGGAATGGACGTAGAAGTGGGGAAGCTGCGTCGAGATGCGGCGGCGGTCCGGTCGTGCGAGCTGGAAGCGGAAGACCCATTGTCTCTTTGTCAGGCCGCCTCACCCCGCCCGCTATCTCCACAGCGCGGATCCGATAGCCCCATGTACGTGGCGGGGGATGGAAGGAGGACAGAGACAGCGGAGGTCATGGCCGGACGCTGCCCCTGGCGCATGTTCCGGCTAGTAGGTCACGAGCAGAAATGGGCGCAAGGTATTCTCCCCCCAATCATCGTGCCGTGGGCCTGAGTTGTGCCAACGGGATTTGCGGATGAATACGCTGTTAGGAACATTTGAGCCGTCTTGCGCCAGGCAGCGGAGAGCGACGGACCGGCGCGGAGATGAAGTCGGATGGCCGCTTCTGCGTCTCTGCTTGGCACACCCTATGGCTGATACAGCGTCATGTCTTGCGTAGATTCCCCCAGCCTGTTCATGGATGGAGGAAAAACGGATGTTACTAGCCAGCGCAGCGCGCAGAGCCTTGGTCTAGACCCAGACGTGAGACCGAAGTCTGCGACACAGAAGTCGAGCCGTGGGCGTGGAAAGCATCGCATGCACGGACGCCTAGCCGAATAAAATGGAAACATCGCGCATGGGTGCTTTGACATGAGAACAAGGGTCAAGTCTGTTTCTCGCGGACTGAGGAATGTGATGGGTGCACAGCCACTCGCATCACTTTCGCATAGTGCTATGCCCTTCTCCTCCCAGATCCCGATGCGTGATGGATGGATGAGACCTGACTATTGGTGTTTCGCGACCAAGTGGGTAATTTACGTCCGGTCCGAACGCCATCATCAAAATGAAGGCGAGACGAACTGCCGCCCGCATGTGTGGTGGATCGATACGAGATGATGGTGGCGGGCGGGCGAGTTTGGCGTTACGAGCACATGGGTGTGGACTCTTGGAGGTGTTCTCGTCCTTCTCTAGCGAGGGGGAAGGGGAACGATGGCGGCGGCCGAAGCCGGGGACGCTATTCATCCTTCCCTTACATACGCGCCACGGCGGGGAGCGACGATGCGAATCTGGGCCACGCCGACGATCATCACGACACCAGCCACTTCGGGGAAAACGTGGTCCGGCTACGGCGATGTGGCCACGTTACCACCTGCGCTCGCACTCAATCTGCATCGAATCTCTCGGTTCTGCAGGGAAGCAGCGGGGATAATGCAGAAATAGCCCCGGATGGGCCTGGCTGGCACCCATCCGTCAGTCCGTCCTTCTTGGGCTTCGTTCGGCCCTCGCGCGAAACCGCTTGGAATCTGGATCCGATTCGATACTGTAAATGATGAGGGACGGAGGCGGCGCGCACGCGCGCAGATTGAGACGAGATTCGGGTCCTGGTTTTTTTTCGCTCGGGTTCTTATCTGCGTTCGTTAGCGCCCGGTGCTGTGCTCTTGGAATTTACCACTGATTCGGTCCCATCCAGTCGAGTCTCCGTGCCGTAGCGCGATTCCGATTCGATTCCAGACTAACTCTATATAAAGCACAGACACAGGGACCCCTGGTGATTTCTGCCCGCCCAATAACACCTCGACCAGCATTCCCCAGTCGACACACCCAGCCAACGCCTCTCCCCCTTGCACTCGTCGGATGCCAGTCGGACCGCACAGTGGGCTGAGGGAGCTGTGAGCCGCACCATCCACCCCCGCCCGTCGTCGTCCCGATGAACACCACCAACGCGCGCGGCGGCCCGTCTCTACCCAGCATCCGTTCGCTGCACCCCTACCTCCCCCCTGCCCCGTCGACCGCACCGGCGCCATCCTCGCTCGCTCCGCCCGTTTCCCGCACCCCGCCACCACACGCCGGCCCGTCCGCCGCACGGGACCACGACCGCGACTATGACCGCGACCGCGAGCACGAGGAGGCGCGGGGTACGCTCCCCCCGTTCTCGTCGTACCCGGTCGAGGAGTCGGATGGAGATGGGGACGAGCGTGACAGCATGCCGGAGCCGCCGAAGAAGAAGCGGAGGCGCCAGCCATTGAGTTGTACCGGTGCGTGTGTGTGCTCGTGTGTGTGCCATGCCGGCGTGGATGTGATTCTGATGTGTTGTTGTGTGCCTCGCTGTCTAGAATGCAAGAGACGTAAGATCAAGTGCGATAGGTGTGTGTGTCGTTGTGGCTTGGTCTCGAGGGAGTTTGCGTGTGCTAACGGCCGAAAACAGGTCCCAGCCGTGTGGTCCGTGCTCGAGAAGGGGGGACCAAGCCAAGTGTCGGTGGCATATCGTCGAGCCAGCGTAAGTGGCGGATACTTTCTCGTACGACGTTACGCTCATTTGCATCTGGCTGCAGCACGGACAAATACGTCCCCCGCTCTGAATTCGAAGCACTGCGGGCCAGAGTCGACACACTCGAAGACTACATCCGTCGTCTGCCCGGTCCCGGGCCCGCGTCTTCCACGTTCGGCGGCACTGCTCCGACGGGCTTCTTCCCGCAGGCCCAGATGCAGTCTCCCGATACGATTCCCCCTCCCGCCGAGATGCTTATGGGCATCGCGGCAGGGCCTTATCCCGCACCACCCGGTCCGTCCGCGCATGATCCCGGGCTCGCATATTCGCCGATCCAGTCGCGGGCACCGCTGCCTGCGCGGGTGGGGTACATGCCGATGCCGATGCCCCCACCGGCGGGCATGCCGCCGCATCATCTCGTCCTTCTCGACTCGTCCCCGTTCCCGAGCAGCCCAGGGTATCGTCCAGGGCATGCGCGCTCGCGCAGTTTTGGCGAAGGGACGCGCCGTCCCCTATCTGCCGACGGTGACGCGTCTCCGCCTGGTCTGACGGTCCCGCATTCTGCTGGCCCGTCAGCATCATCGTTTGACCTGCCGTTGCCGTCTGGGCCGCCGCCTTCGTCGGCCGCTGCTCCGGACAGCCGGGTCAGAAGTTTGTCTCCTCGGGAGCGCGCCAGGCGGGGGGAGCATGGGGCGCTTCCGCCGTTGATGGGGCTGGGGCCAGCACCGGGACCGGGACCGGGACCGCCTCCGCCATCGTCTTCATCGTCCTCCTCGCGGCACGGGGATGTCGGATTCCATCCGTATCGTGCTGAGGGAGGCCGGCATCGCGCGACGTCCCGTGCGTACGATCCCGCGCGGGAGGCGGGATCTTCTTCCTCCTCGACCTCTGCTAGCCGCACTGCTCATACTCAGCGTGGGCAACCGTCTTCGGGTTCGGGGCATACGGAAGCTGACGTCCCGCTTCAGTTCGCACGCTCCTTTTGCCCGTCCCGTCTGGGATCCTTGTCTAGGGTGCGGGTGAATGGACACGACAGCGGCAAGTCTCGCACATTGTGTTGTCTGCCCATTGCCCACCTTGCGGATCTGGATGTGGCTGTCGGGCCGGTGCATGCCCCAATGCGCAGGATCCCAAGACACTTGCGGCTTCCATTGCTAGAATCTCCGCTGTTATCTCTCGAATCTCCGACCGACCCACGCTCCTTGCTCCTCCATTTTCCTCTGTCGTCATTGCTATCGAATCCGCCCCCCGGACGGTGCATCCCCTACCGTTCCGTCGCGTCATCGTGTCGTCGCGCCCGTCGCACCATCGCCTCGTCCCGGAATATCCGTCCTGTATGTGGCAAGCCTGCGGCCCCCCCGATCCTGCTCGCCGTCGTGCGCGGCAGGTCGCGTCAGAAGCGGAAGAAGGGATCCCGGTTTCGTGACCGGCTTCGCCGTCGCCGATGAACGCTCGCGTCTGTTTGTTACGCTACATACTCATCTGTCTCCCCCTCTCTTTCTCTCTCTGCCCCATGCATCATCATCATCCTCACCGCCATCGATCTATCTCTCCCTTGTAGCCTACCGTACTCGACATACACCTAACGACAATACCGCCCTTCCTATATAATAGATAGCACCGCACTTCGCTCGTTACGCACCGCATACCACGCACAATACCGTACCGTACTGTATATGATCGCCTTCGCAATTCTGTATCTAGCTAGCACCCCCAGCCCCCAGTACATCCGCACATTCGCACAGTCACAGACCATTATATCCATCCGTCCGTCCATCAGCACCTGCAAATGCGAAGTATAAATTGCAAATGTCACTCACTTCCAAGGCCCGCGGTCCGGTGTGCAGTGCAGCATACAGTACAGTATGCAGGCTTGCACCGGTGCGATCACCGGTGCGCTGAATTGCTACTGTGGCTTAGGTAGATGTATGTGACCGGGTCATGAGGTCCTCCGGTTCTTTCTTCAGGCGAAACGGGCTGTCAGGTATCGTAGCGCAGGTGACGAGAGTGGAGAAGCCGACCTTGGAAAATTGCACCCGGAAATACGATCGGTCAAGTGAGTGCTGAATCAGAGTATGACTCAATGGAGGCGTGTGAGAAGCGATTCGACAACTGGGATCTGGCATGCGACTGCAATAATGGAAACAGCATGATTCTAACAGAATACTTCCGGTCTTGCCCGCACACCGGTGGTGAAACGGTATCATGCTTGCCTTCCAGTCCTAGTTGTCTGTCTTGTAGCAAGCGGCACGGGTTCGACTCCCGTCCGGTGTACTTTTGTTAGTTTTACCACCGCTCAGTCTTATATCACCGTCTGTGCCGTTTAAACATGCCTTTGTACCTCCGGTCGCCCTCGCATCTGCGCGGCGCTTCATTGGGCCGGCAGTCGATTATGCCTTACACAGCGGTGTCGAATTCCCGCGGAAGAACGGTGGTGGTGGACATCGCATCGCACGCATGCGAGCCGCAGTGCATGAGCAGAAAGAGAATCTGACAACTAGCGAGATTAGATCCATGCAAGACGACGCGCCGGCACGGGCGGCGACGACTGCCGCAGATGCGGAATCGAGATATCCTCCGCAGTTCGCGGGAGCAGCCATGCCGGCGCTGCAGCCCGCACGTGAGATACATTGTAGATCGAGGCGCCGGCGCGGAGATCAGGCTTGAGTCGCCCGCGGATCGGTCGGAGTTGCTGCAGCGGACGCGGTCCTTTGACTGCGGAGCCAGCGAGAGCGGCGTCATGCGCACGGGGGAAGCGCCACAGGTCCTGTTATGTATCATTATGCATGTGCTCTGACGCGGAGAGTTTTCCTCCCGGGTCCATGGGGTGAGTTAACACCGGGCCTGAATACCGAGGGATGCATACTGAATATTCATCGAATCTAAACAGCGCCTGTTGTAACTTGTCAGTCTCACCGGGTATTCGTAGGTTAGTCTGAGTGATCCGTGTTGAGAGACGGGTATCAGGTCCTGTCTGTATTTCGCAGCTCTGACGGTGCTTTGCGACCACCGATTTCTCGGGCACCGCGGCCGAGGGTGGGGCGCTGTCGATTCCCGCATAATTGCCTGGACCGATCACGCTCGAACTCAGAAATTATGAGATCGACTTTCCCAGAAGGGCGCTTCGAGTGTTTGGGTTTGGCCCTGAAGATCTTCCTTGAGGGATCGCGGGCCGGGTAGCCCGAAGAGCACGCGGAGGGGGACTTGGTTCGAGAAATTGGCAATCAGCGTGTCCGCCCGGGCTCCGCAGAGGTCGGGACGGAATGAGGAAAAGAGACGGGTCAGGCACCACCTGAACGTCAGTGGATAATACCAGTTAGACAGGGAAGTCGACGTGTTCACGACAAGGCTATTCGAAGTGTGGTTTGAAACTGGTCCGCAGAATTTAAGTATCTATGATCCAATACTGGGATACCCAGCTCATTTGCCCATGAGGGATCGACTAAAATTCACCGTCGACTCTCTGAAGTTCCAGAACTCTGCTATTCTACCTGTGAATTGAGTGCTGCGTGCGTGAAAAAATTAATGGTAACATGGCGGTATTAAGAATCTGGTAATGCAAGTTTGAGCTCATGAAGAGCATGGCGGAAACGGGATGAAATGTCATAAAGTTGCCTGTTGCAAAATAAGAAACATGGCATCAACGTGGATTGAACACGTGACCTGTAGATCTTCAGTCTATCGCTCTCCCAGCTGAGCTATGACGCCTTGCCAATTGTTATCCTCCTCAGATATCGGACCCAGTAATAATCCGTACGAAATTCAGAGATAAATCTTTGTATTCCGCTTGTTATACATCTGGGTATACAACTTTAAAGTTTTACCAGGGCAACGGCCCATCCTTATTGAAGAACACGCCGCTCTTGCCCTGCGATGACAAAACCTCTTCCACGATCACCCTGCATCCCACTGCCGGCGACATCGCGGTGCTAACGAACAGACTCATCGTCGTCGCACAGTACCCTGCAAATCAATCAGACACAAGCTCTCAAAACACACCGCTGCCGCGACTCGCCAGGACAAATGGCGACAACGCGGATCCCGCTGTCCTTCTCCTCCTCCTCGTACGCCCACTGCAGCGTGAGGTTATTCAGCGCGGCCTTACTCGCGCAGTACGTGCGGGATGCGCCGGGGCCGCGCACGAGCGGCGGGCGCCCAGCGTACAGATTCTGCGACCCGATCGATCCGGAGACGTTGATGATCTCGCCGCTGCCGGGCGCGAGCAGCGGGAGGAACGCGTCCTTGACGGCGATCGTGCCCGCGACGTTGATCGCGAGGATGTCGGCCGGGCGGCCCTCGCCCATCGCCGCGCTGTGGGAGCTGGGCGTCAGCAGTGGGCACGCCCGTACAAACTCAAATCGCGGGCGCACTTGTTGATCAGCACGTCCAGCGCAGGGAGGCCGCGCGTGCGGAGTGCCGACGCGACGAATTCGCTCGCGGCGGTGATGGACGCGGGGATGCCGAGGTCGATGTGGACGGGCACGACGGCGGAGGTGGCGTGCATGTCCGGCGCGAGAGCCGCCACGGCCTCGGCGGCGGCGGACATCCTCCGGGCGCCCATGAATACGAGCACGTGCGGCGTCTGTGCGAGCTGGTGTACTGTGTGGTAGCCCAAACCTGCGGGCGGGCAATGGGCGTCGGGCATCGGCGTGCGCAGGGGGGTGGGTGGGTGGGAGGGCACGCACCTTGGTTTGCACCGGTGATGAAGACCGTGCGGATGGTGCTGCTGGACATTTCTGCAAGCTACCTAATAAGATAAGAACTGGCAGGACATACGACAGCACTAGGCGACGCTAAATACTTTTTGACCCTTAGGCGACTGCCGAATGACGAACATTCGCCGTGCCGATAGTCAGCACAAGAAGCGCCAGGTGAGAGATGAGCATGCAGCGGACTCTAACCGACGCGGTTCCGTCCCGGTAGAAGGAGTCAGATTGATGATCCAAACTCCGGCCTCGATCGAACGGAAGCGATGAGGATCTGGTAATTAGATGCCGAAGTAGTAGAGTACATCAGATTGAGGGACAAGTTGGAAGTGCGCAGATCTTCCTGGTTGCTTGTTTCATGAGCGATAGTGAAAGATTTCACTAACAACAACAACAAAAAGTTTAAGGATACGGAGCACTGACATGAGCCTAGGGCCTTATCAAAGGTAGACGTACACCGGACGGGAGTCGAACCCGTGCCGCTTGCTACAATGCAGACAACAAGGACTGGAAGGCAAGCATGATACCGTTTCACCACCGGTGTGATGACAATGGCTCCCTATGTCCCGATCAGACCATCCGCCGCTTGAGGATGCCCAATCCATCCTGCCACCCGAACCAAGTATACCTCTCACAATGCGGTCCACGCAGGAGGAGTATCAGGATCTGCCACAGACAGAGCGCAACGGACAACAGCCCTGCCATTCGCCAGCCGTATCGAAGAAAAACCGCGGTCCCTGCTGCGGTGCCGAAGACTTGTCCGACACAAACCTAGCCAGGATGTCATTTCAGCATGACGCCTGGCAATGGGGAGAATGCGCGTGACTCGCCGAGAGGGTACTGAGGGCGTTCATGCGAGAGCGTGATTCGGGTGCTATGCTGCATGTGTGTGAGCAAAATCGAGTCTTGTGCCCGTCGAGAATAGAAGACAAACACACCTGAGGATCTGGGTCAGCACTGAGGCTTGTACGATCTGGCGGAACAGCCCCAGTCCGAAGGCGATGATGACGACGGCGGCGATGCTGCGGCCTTCCGCCAGCGTCTGGATGACGAAGAACAGGCACAAACATGCCACAGAGAGCAGCGTAGCGTGCCAAGGGACAAACGCGTCAATCAGCCGTCCGGTGAGCGGCGCCGCCATGACTGCCACAATGCCGATCAGGCCAAAGAGACCGATGTCGAGCCTGCATCCTGTAAGCTGCGAAGAACGGAGTGTGACTTCCACACACGCACGTCGAGTACCTGAATGCAGGACCCCCAAGCAGGAACGTCAGCGTCACCCAGAAGCCCGTGAAGGCCACGCTCGTCCCGAAGTTGACGCAGCATCCTTGTATCAGGGCGGGCTCCGTCGCACCAAGCTTCCCCATCGAGCACAAGATCCCGAGGTACGACAGCTGCTGCTGCCCTGACGGAGGCGGGCAGTCCGGGATGATGAGCCAGCAGAGGCCGAGTGCACACGCCTGCACGCCCACGGCGAAGTAGTACGTCGCGCGCCAGGTGGCGTACTGCCCGAAGATCCCCGCGAGGACACGTGCGATGAGGACGCCGAGGAGCAAGCCGGAGATGACGATGGAGAGCGCGGTGCCGCGGCGATTGGGGGGCGCGAGGTCGGCCGTGAGGGGAAGCAGGATGTTCGTGGTCACTGAGGTCATGCCGAGAAAGAATGAAAGGACTTCGAAAGCGGGGAAGTTGTGCGTTAGAGCGAGCCCCTGCGCCGTTCGCGGTCAGCGTTCAGTGCAGACGAGGACACACGTAGGGAGACTTGCGATGGTGAGTAGCACGGATATCGCCACGAGTAACAGAATGAGAGGCCGACGTCTCGTGATGTCGCCCAAGGATCCAATAAGCAAAACGCCGGCAGCGTACCTGCACGGGCATGTTGACCATCACCCAGAAGCAGGCTCTAGCAGTTGCATATACCCAGCTTGCAACAGAGTGGGCACCCTACACATCCCCGGCACGTATCAGAGACTGAGAAGATGATGACAGCAGCAGACGTACTCTGCCACTCGTGAATACGACACCCCGAAGGACTCCGCCATCTTGACTGTCAGCACTCAGGTGGTCAGCACTATGTGACCCAAGAGGGCTCCGAGGGACGACGCGCACTCAACAGAGGCTGGCAATAGAATCCATTCGCGACGGCTGGGAGTGGTCAGACGTTACGCTAGAAGACCACAGGGGCGATGTCTGGACGTACTGAATGTGCTCACAAAGCCGAGTCCCAGATTCATCCCCAGCCCAAAGCCAAACGTCTTGCCTGGAGCGTACTGGAGGCGTGCCGGGATTGGGAGGAAAGCAAAGTCGTGTTTGGGTGGATGCACATGCGTTGATTGCTTTGATTCAGACGGAAACGACGGCGAGTCCGGTGGGGGCAGCGAGTGCGGCTTGCTTGCATCGTCCATGATGTCGAGAGAAGACGGTGAAGAAGAAGGCGAAAGGGAGCCGAGGAAAGGATGACGTTTCATCCGGTCCTTCCGCTTCGAGAGCGCTTCATGAGAGCTCGTTTCTCACCCTGACTAGAAGCCTGATTGGGAAGCCCTGTTGCTGCATCGGGTGTACTGCAATGAGAGCGTACTTGGTTGTACCGCCCTAAATTCAAGAGCACAACCAGAGAACGACTTCGTTTTGGCCAACAAGATCAATGAACAGAGGGTCGGGCCACCGGTCAAGCATGTAATCCGTTCCCATCCTCATAATGAGATCTGTCCTCTTATCGCCACACTCCAGCACATCTCATGGAGTACCATGCGCAGGCTCAACAACGTCTGAACAAGAGATTAGAATCCTCCTGGGTCCGCTGGGTGCGCACGTACACCCATCTCACCGTCCTTGAGGTGAGATTGCTCAGCGACATCCTCGGGGAGAGCTACCCAGTCCGCCAGGTCGCTCTCGCAGCCTAAGCCGATCGGCACGGAAGTACAGGGCGGAGTCGGGGGAGCACGTGTGGTTCTCATTGTCAGGCCATTTCGATCGGGGTTGGGTCGTTGTGAATGCGGTGGTGTCCGGACTACTGGTATACCAGAGCGGGAATGAGCGCCCATACACTATGGGCAACGGAAAACCAGTTACTCGCCGGGATTCCAAAAGTTCGGTTGGCTCGCTGGAGGTAGGTGAATGGCTCGCTGGACAGTGAAGGGAATGGCGTAAGGAGATTTCGAGTCTGCCAGGACGCAGATCGGGACACGGTGACTGGCATATTCCGCGAGAGATATAGTGATGCATCCATCGTGTTTGATCCGCTCCTTGTTCAGGATGTTTCTGTCTTCACGACTCCCGGTCAAGCGATTTCCGGGCATCGAAGGGCCCACCGGTGAGAGGAAGCGTCCGAGGCCGATTGTTTCAGGGCTTGTCTTCACAGAGTGTCACGCTTTGCTCATCGAATGATATTGCGCAGTAAGGAAGAAAGTGATTTCTCTGTGTCGTTAAGGTTCACATTGCGATTTCTTCTGCCCGTTGCCGGTAAGAAAGTGGAGAGGTATGTAGAGGATGACAAAGTAGCTCGCACAGCATGGAAGACACGATCACGTGCTGTCATCACGCTGACCTTGTTGTCCACTTAATTTTTTGGGATTGGAGATCTCCCCCACGAGTGTTCTCTTGGTCTCATTTTGTGACCTGTTTCATAATCATGCCGACTCAAACCAAATGCGATGTGACTGCGTTGGCACGCAAAAATATCAAATTGAAGTAGGAATTCATGATGTTTCCGAATGACATCAATGAGTCGTAGGACAAGCCGTTTCTAAACATCCAATTCCTTCTCCCGCGTGAGTAGTATAATCAGGCGGCGCGTTCCCCGCTTCCTCCCCGACTGGTCTTCGGCTCCAACTTTCTAACTCAAATCGCATCACCTGTCCCCGCAGCTGCTGAATCTCTTCGGCCATGCGGCTGAAATTCCGACGGACAGAGATATTTCGGTTTTCATACCGCGGCTTTGTCTTGACCTGGGGAGCAGAGGATGCAGTACCCGCATATGGGGTAACAATGTTGCCGGTTCCTTCCTCGACTTTTGTGAGACTTTGAAGCCTCCTCCTGGTTTTTATCCACCGGATGAGGAGTAGCGCAGACAACACACACAGGAGGATTCCGCCCAACAGTGAACCGAGCACGATTCTGATAATAGCTCCGTGTCTCCTGGAACTGTCTGAAGCGACACTGGATGTCTGTGCGGTGCTAGCTGGAGCAGGGATGTGTGAGCCGCTACGTGAGCCTTGTGAGAGGGAAAAGGAGCTTGTCGGGGCGATTGATAGTGTTGACATGATGGGGGGGGAGACATGACTAGAAAGTGGAGCAGCGCTTGTTGTTGCAGGGGTGGAAATAGGTTGGTGAACTTGGTGTAAGCGGCGACCTAGGGACGAGAGAGTTCTAGAAGGCTGTAGATCGTAGATTCGTCAACATGTCTTATCCAGAAACCCACAGAAAACGTTTCGCACAGTTGCAACAATGTTTGAAACCAGGTTTGATTGCATCGAAATTGGAAGAATTAGCTATGCCAGGGTAGGGAGGTTGAGGTCTGGACGTGTGATTTGAGCCCAACCTTCAAATATGGTCGAAGGTGTAGACTAGGCGTGCGCTCTGACAGGTGACGGGTGTGTGCGGCTTTCTCATACATTCTCTCCTGACTACAGTCACATCGGATACATATAGATACGATCGTTCCATCGCTCTTTCTAATGTATCAGACCCGATCAGGCCCTGGCACCCGCGCGTGAATGATTTATTATGATGATGATCCAAGTGTCCGGTGATACCTTGCGTTGATTTCAATGATTTGATGGACACGCTCAACTTGTCTCGTATTCGCTGCAGTAGCACACTGCGGAAGTGTTGCAGAGCATGTTCAGAGGCCCGTTGCCTTCAACCCTTCAGCTTCAACCACATCGGCAGTCCCGTAACTCTTGAATCTTCTGCCGTGCGGGGCGAAACAGGTGGCAATGTCCTCTTCGACGTGTTGATCCGTCTCTTAGGAGATGCCGTTGAATCTTCCACCTTTGAAACACAAGAGCCCCGACATGATGCAGACAAATGCTCCCAGAGCTCATCCCGGGTCAATCCCCCCTCTTTCCCCCAGTTCCCTAGACTGACACGACTCAACTTGATATAGGCAGTGGGATAGATGGGAGTTACCAGACTTTCGATCACGGAGATGCTGGCGGCAGAAGGGGTTAGTTGCCACGGGAAGCTTGATCCGATCGAATGTTCGAAAGAGGCGCCGAGATTGTCTGATGGGACGTGAACACATCTTCAGAAAGAGGATTGATAGACAAAGGAATCAGCACTATAGAAGGGGGCTGACAGTGGTACCAGAGCTACAAGAACACATCTAGCACAAAAACGCAACTCTGTTTGTGGCAGAAGTGGAGGGGAATGATAGGTTATGATGATGGACGGTACAGAGATGGAGGTCCGAGACCGAATCTATCAGCGCTTCAAACCAGACATCGCATTCCACCTGTCTGCACTCAACAAAGAACCTGATTCGGATGCCTCATCCCAACAGGCTTCTCACATCCAACATCTGCTGAACCAGGTAACAAGAGCAACCTGTTTGACCCGCGACGAGTTTTTCTTTTGATATGATGTTAGAATTATTTGCAACTTCGGGGACACGATAGAAACGCATCTATCTCAGGCTGATGAAAAGGGCTCGAAGAAAGGAAAACCAACATCTCGAAAGCGAGGATGTGTGGCAAGTCCCCACGGATCCGAATTGCGGCCGTTTTGTTCGCTGTGGCTTCTGCCGAAGTTTAGTTGTCACTAACGCAGACCCACCCCGTCTAAGAAAAGGAGGGTGAGGAGCACCGGAGAGCGATCATGATGATTTGGGACACAATTGACAGTGCGAAGGAATGCAGTGCAAGAAGCATTCATTCCAATCGCAAGTGCCTGGAAGCGACCAGTCGCACCGCCTACGCACTGATCGGGGCATTTTTCGTGCCTATAAGTCCTGTCTGCGATCTGCTGCAACCGACCAGCCTCGTCGCCTGGAGTCCTTCCTGCGAGGAGCTCCTGGCGGCGTCGACGGTGGTCGTAATAAGTTGAAATCGACTTCTCGATCGCAATCGGGGCCCGGGGAATGAATGGCCAGGACTCAGATGCAACCATGAGATGAAGGTCGAGCAGGATATTGTCCCAGATATAGTACTCGCTAGGCTTCTGTCACCGCACGACTCGGTAAGTACAGAAGTAAGCACAGCATTTCAACGCACAGATTCGCTTATCTTCTGATTCTTTGACCAACTTGTTGGCCCGGACGTCCGCCGAAGAATTCTAACAAGTCGGTACTTGCGAAACGGACGTCAAAGTTAATTTCTCTGGTTACATTGATGTGGATCATGTGGATCTTCGGCCCAAGTCTGCTGGCGAAGGTCGACAGCCGCTGTTTGAACACAGATGAACAGATACAAGGCATCACTTATAATTACGAAGTTGGCGCTCAGATTTCGTCCCGCGTTTTTGCATCAAACACAACTTCTGGTTGAAATTCGTGCGGCATCCACGATTAGAAAGCGGGGAAGCTTGCCGAAATTGACGAACTTCCGAGATGGCCGACTGTGCACTCCGACCTACGATCTCCTCCTCCAGCACTTCAGCTTCAGTCAGGCTTGTCGAGGAAGCACTCTAGTGGAGTATGAACGGATCTTTGATCTCATTTACACGGACGAGGATGTTGTGTTTCCATCCGTGGAGATTGTGGATCATGTCGAACGATCTGAGGTCAATAGCTGCGGGATGGCAGCAATCCATGCGGAGCGGTGTTCAAATGCGATCTCCCTTTCCGTGTTTCGGAACATCGCCCTAGCATCCCGATTTACGGACCATGAAACACCGGCAAGGTGATCCAATCAACCTTTACAGGATGCACTCACTTCGATGTTCTCTCTGGAGGATGGCGCATGATATGAAGTATTCGTTCTATGATCAGACTCACCGAGAATACTAAATGCCTCTCCCTTCCGTCATCTCTGAAATTCATCCAGTCATGAATCCATTTCACGTTTCTAAGCCAATCGTTGCGCCACACTTCCCGAATAATTCATCTTTTACCGGTACTTCGATTTGGATCGTGACGCTGAACTCACAAAGAACTTTATGATACATGATTACGGGGAAGACTTTGCCCAGAATATATCACTCCAGCCTTGGGCGCTTATGTCTGAAAATAACGCCCTCGATCTCACCGAGCTGTTTCTTTAGTTCGGTAATCTCTTCTTTCAGAACCTCGATCGTTTTCACGGCCTCCTCATGTTCGATTTGGCTACCCCTCAGCTGTTCTTGTAGTTCGGTGATCTTGCACTGTGATTCCAGATAAATTCGCTTGTTTGTGGCAGATAGATGGGTGACTGCGGCGACAGCGGCTGCAGTCGCATTATCGAGCACTTGTTCTGTAAGAACGGATAAGCCAGTCTGTGGGTATACATGAACGTCTGAAATGGACTTACCTGGGTCAGGACATTGCGCCGTATCTGAATCTGACAGTCAAATCAATTGGCAAGATCTCGGACTGGAGCCAGAGACGAACCAATATCCATTGGATTTTCAGCGGTTCCTGGCTCTTGTCCAGGCGGTGCAGCCCAGTTCTTCGCCGCAGCGTAGGCAGTGCAGAGCTTTTTGACATCAACTGTCCCATCGAACGCAGTCAGTGCACACTCGAGGAATGGAATCGCCCAGTGCAAGGGGTCATCCGAGTCAGGATTCGGGGGCGGTGAAGCGAAGGCGAACACATTCTGCTCATGATCGTAAATGGCCATCGGGGCTCCCTCAAAACCAGAAATACGAATCGACACGTTCTCCGAGGGAACGGTTGGCGCGAACGTGGCGATGGCAGCGCGCAAACGTTCCAGATCGGCCGACGGCGGTTGGGGCTCAGCAGCGAGAATTCTCAGTTCTGCACACCGAGGGATAGAGTGAAATGCCCCACAGGCTGTAACGAGCTCCCAAACAGCTTTTGAAACAACCATAAGCGTCAGACCCAGTTTCTTTGCTAACTGCGAGTGTTTATACGATGATTCGTAGCTTTCTACGAGCTCGATTTTGGCAGAATGTGCGAGGAGCTCTTTGCGACGAGCAGCCGCCGAGAACGCGGCACGATAACGCGCGCTGTCCTCAAGCTGCACGAGCTTCTTCAGGTTCGGTGGTAATTCTTTATGATCACCTCGAGAAATCTCAAAAGCTAGTTCCTCTGCCAGATCAGGATAGTGGCGGAAAGCATACGAAACGGACCGAGCCAGAACGACACCGTAGTCTCCGCACTCTCCAGCAACAAAGCCGGCGAGTGGGTCGTCCTGAGCGAGCGGACCCCTGACCCTGAGGAACCCGAAGTTGATGGACAGTCTGTTCCCTATGGCGCGCGGCGCAGTCTCCACCTTTCCGCACCTATAGAACTTTTTCTCGCCAGATTCGATGAAAAAAGTGACGTCGTATTCCGGGATGTGCCAGGTTTTGCTTGGCAATGCGGCGAGCAGCGAGGCGGGCGAAAGGCGTTCGTCGACACCAATGGCTATGAAGCAGAGTTCACCATCGCGGGCATGGGCCATTCTTTGTTCCAGTCGTTCGTCGGAGATGCGTGCAACGATCTTCTCCGCCTTTTCCCGAAAGATTGTGTCGTCGTCTTCATCGACGGACTCTGAGCCTTCTGATTCCTCTGGTGTGGGCGAGGTCGCCTCGGTCTCTGTCGGCGATGTTGAAATGGTCCAGATACCTCATTGAGCAAACGACTCACGCAGTTGAGTTTTCCATTCAAGCACAGACCGGGGACGCAGATCGTCATACACGAGCCGCAGCTTTTGCCTGTTCGAACTCGGTAGCTTCTTCCACCGCAGTGTGCCGATACCCTGATTGACTCGGACGGATACGTGACCGACGCACGGAAATCGCTCACTGACACTTTCGGCGTACTCCTGAAACACTTGGATTGCCATCCTCAAGCCCCCTTTCGAAAACGACTCCACCGAGTGCTTGGTTCCCATGTGGTTGCAATAAAGCGACAGGGACCGGATGGCGGGGCTGCTGCCCGTCTGTGCCCAGAGTCCGATTACAGCTTGGAATGGCGTGGCTGTGGAGCTCTTTTCGGAATCGGAATCGGAGTCGTTTCGAGCCGTGGCGAGGTAAACAGGCAGCCAGGTCTTGGCTTGTTTAAGCTCGCTGCCACCTGGGCCAGTGAAGAGGCCTGGACAGTCCGCGACCAGCCGCGCTTTCCGCGTGGCCTGCACGTCTGTCGCGGATTCCTTATACTCCTTGTGAGCACAATCTTAGTATGAGCAGCTGCCGAACTCAAACGCACCAGCAAGTCCTCCACGCTCCACATCGTACGCTGCGGAGGAGTTCTCCACTCGTCGCGCATCTGCTCGAAGGGAATCTGGACCAACGCGTCCACCGCATTCTGGATCTTATCCTGGCTGACGGAGTAGTAGCCGCGATTTTCGAGCCCGTACGTCGGCTTGCAGACGCGCATAAGTAACTGAGTTGATGATGTCGGAGTAAACCGGAATTACAAAAGTTCCCACGAAGACCGGTTGTTGATTTCATTCTACGTAGGTTTCTGTATCAGTGTCCTCTCGCAGCGTACAGCATAGGCAGAATGGAACATCGCGCCAGCGACTCGCAGGAAAAAAAAAGTTTTACGTCGTGACATATAACCAGTCCTCGTGACCTGATCACATGCGTTGTGAAAGCCGGACGCCGTCTGGAGACCTTCCGTAACATGTAGATTGTCAGAAAATGGATTCTACTATTGATGCCAACGCTACGGGAAAAGCACAACGCAACGGGAAATGGCTGATCTCTCCTTCCCTCCTTTGAATTTGCCCCCGGTATGCTCCGGAATTTGTAGCTAGCATTTGAAAACCCTTAAGTACCAAATACTGCATTTATACATGAGCGGGAACCATATACAAAATGAAGGCCGGTCTATCACGTCACATGATTTGACAATGAAATGCCATGATAGACCGGCCTTCATTTTGTATATGGTTCCCGCTCATGTATAAATGCAGTATTTGGTACTTAAGGGTTTTCAAATGCTAGCTACAAATTCCGGAGCATACCGGGGGCAAATTCAAAGGAGGGAAGGAGAGATCAGCCATTTCCCGTTGCGTTGTGCTTTTCCCGTAGCGTTGGCATCAATAGTAAATGGGACAATCTGACCAGCGGGGGAATTTAATCCCCGGCCTAGGACGACACGCCCCGTGACTCGGTTGTAACTAGCGTCGGCGTAGAATTCATGAATGCGTGACGTGGTACGATAGCTGGTATGGTATGATACAGAGTGTTGCTGGTACTACTACATATGTTGCGAGGTGCCCTCGTTGGATTGATTTGTACAACATCAAGATAACCCCGAGATGAAAGAAAAGGACACGAGACCCGGGAAACCCCGCTGATTGCCGAACCCGAATGAGATTCAGTAATAGTCTGTCCACGCCGGATCCTGCCCGTCTTTGCCAGGCGGCGTCGCGAACGCACCGGCAGCCGAGTTCGGATGCGGCTGCAGCGCAAAGTGCACAGCGCGGCGCTCGGCGGGGGGTGGGTGCGGCAGCGTGGGCGAGTGCTCGGGGAGGTGATAGAGGAACGGATCGTCATCGCCGGGCATGGGTGGGTCGGCGGGGCTCGGCGGGCCGGAGTTGGCTCTAGGCGAGCCTTGGATATCGAAGTACCCGCGCCCCTTGCCCTTGCCGTTGCTGTTCCTCCGGAAGAGGCGGCTGAATAGATCCCCGGTATCCTCGTCGTCCAGTTCTGTGTGAACAGGTGAGACATCGATTCGCTCGGGCATGTGAGGAGATGGACAGACCTGGGACTTCGTCTGGCGTCGCGGCCTGTTTTGATCGTTTGCGCTCAGACATGAGGTAGGGCACTGGGATGAGCAGAAGCGTGGAGACTCCACTCTGAGAACGTAATGCACACATGAGCGACGTGTCCCCCGCGAAGAAGACAAAGGCACGCACGATGATGATCTCCTTGTAATCCTTTACCCCACTCTTCTTAGACGAGGACGACGACGAGGAAGAAGCAGAAGCATTCGCGGCGGGACGGTCACACGAGTCAAATGAGGTGCGCGTGGTCGTGCGCTGGAGGGGCGTTCCAAAGGCTGGCGCCGATTGCGTTCGACGGTGCGACGGAGGCATGGTGGGGGGGTGGATAGTGAGAGATGCGATGCGATGCGGTGATGGTTGCGGAAGGCGAGCTAGGTAGTGACGCTCGTACCATTTATATGTCCTGGCGGAAGTATTGAAACGGGAGACGAGGCTATGCATCCTGTCAAAAAACTCCACCCATCGATCTTGGCTCGATCGGGGTCTCGCTAGGCCTCGGCAATTGCTTTACGTCTCCGCCGCAAAACAAGGAAGGTGGGCAGCGCCTGGACCCTCGTTGAGTGCTATTCGTCCGTCCCTGAGCGGACCGTCGTCTTAGAGTTCCTCACACCCGTCTCGTCATGCCTTACCTATTCCACACGCATTGGATTTCAGCATTTCCACCCCACATTTGCATTTGTGTCACCTGCTGCGGATCACGTTAAATTGATCCAGATGGATTGCTGATCGGACTTCTCCCACGTTGATCGACGATCGGCGATCTCACAGCTTTTCAATTGGGAACCCCCTATCCGTCTGCGTTGCTGCTCGCGTCTGGGATGGCTGGAGCGTGAGCGCAGACTACCAAAAGGCTGCAGTCGTCTGTCTGAGTTCTGTTCGTGTTTGGAGCAGAAGCTGTTCATCTCCTAGTCCTGTCAATCCCATGACCGATGGCGACCCTGAGTGCATTTTGCCACGGGGTCGCTATTTGAGGGATTTTTGTCGAGGATGGACCGAAAGCTGTAACGGCGGTCGCCTTGCCCGGCGTCGCCCGCTGTATATCGCTCCAGCTTCTCGCTAACCGGGCTGGAGCTCATTTCAAAATGTACGCTGCCATTTAGCACGCACACCGCAGTGGAGGCCGGGCATTCGCACCAATAATACGTGTCGACTGTTTGAGATTCTCCGATTCGAATGGCCAAGCAGAGCCCGTCTATCCGCGTTTGTGGCTCCAGGACATTTCATTGTGAGTCTCGTAGACTTTGCCAAGACAATTTCGTTTCCATGCATACTGACTGGACTGCACAGAATGAATTATCAGGATGTCGTAAATCATGATGAAAGATAACATCGATAAGACTTACATCGGACAGTAATCTGTCCAAGGAGAGCCAAATGCATATGCAGGCCTCTTCTGCTCTCTCTCTTAATCCGTCAGCATGCAGCTCGAGATCCCTGAAAATCTCGGGGATTTCTGAGAGCAGGACATTCACAAAAACGCCTCCGATAGGCCTGGCCACCCGCGAGGAAGATCCGCACCCGCCATCATAGACGCGGATGCAGGCAGGCCACTGATTGATTCGGATGCCATCCACATCTTTTCATCCTGCGAGATCGATCTCCGAAAAAGATGGAGCTCAGGCCCGGATGGTGGATGAGGAAATCGAGACACCAGAAAATGTCCCCGTCGGTCGCGCGTTCACCGCATTCCTGCTTTGCATGCCGGAAGCCAAGCACTTGAAGTAGGTCACCAAGGGCTAAGAAGGTCCGCACCGAGCGTGCGAGGAGAGCTTACATGGGACTGATGCATGGGAACCCTCCTCAAAGGCTAGAACGGAATTTTCCTGCTTTGAGGATCGGGGAATCATGTTGGCGAGCAAATCACGAATATTTCCCGGCTCGTCGGAAAACCACATCTTCCATGGTCCGCTCCCGATCATGTAAGGACGCTGAGGCTGGGAAGTCTCCTGATTATCCGTTGTGCAAGACCCAGAAAGGCGTTCCAAACGGATCAACTGTGGATCGTGAGAACAAAAATCTTTGCTGCGAGGACTACGCCATTCTGGGTGCGGGACCGGAACAGTTGTGCATGGTTACCCCTGGTGGCTGAGATGAACAGGACGGTTCGGAAGGTCGGTGGCGAATAGGTGGTGATGTGTTCGTACTGATCAACTGTTGGGATCGATCATTCATCAACATGGCAGGCACGTGCTGACGCTACCTGACCTCATCCTTCAATCCCAGCGCGCAAAATGAGCTTCTCCCCAGCCCCTCGGGCATCGCTGATCCATCCCGAGCGGCGTGCGAACCACATCACTCGTCGCCTTCCCGCTGACACATGACGTTTTCCGCGCGGGAAGCACGCCCAGGCTAATCTCCCCTCTTCCTCCATCCGCTCACCCATGAACGCGACAGAGACTCAGACAGAGACGCAGACGCAGACGCCCGCGCCCTCGGTTCGCGAGAGCACCCTCGCCGACGAGCCGCACACCTCTCACACCCCGCACACGCCCCCCGTCACGCGCGATTTCGGATTCCTGCCGATCCCGGAGAGGCTGCGATATGTCGAGGGAAAAGTGTTCGAGTTCGGGCTGCTGATGAACATCGCGCTGGGGTTTATGAGCACTTTCAGTTGCGTTGCTCTGACTCTGCTCATTGCGGGAGTCCGGGTTTCTAAACGAGCACAGCGATGGCCAACCTGAGCTACTGTCAACCGTTGCTCAGTGCGTGCATGTTCGGTTCTTGCGACGTGCATGCTGACGATCAAAGTCAACTTGGCCGAGACATTCGGGGTATCGTACTCAAAAGTATCCCAGTGCGTTTGGTCCCGATTTTGCAAATAATTCTGTGTTGATATCTCTCAGAGTGCCGACTCTCTTGCAAGCTGGGTAACGAACTCCCAACCCAGCATCATTTTCGGAATACTAAGTCTCGAACGTAGATACGCTGTTGGTGTCGTCTTCATTTCACCCGTGGGTGATATTACGCGACGGCGGCCACTTCTGCTGCTACTCATGACCATATCCACTCTGCTCACAATCGTATGTCTTCTCAGCGACCTTTGCGCACTCAGAGTATATCGCTCAAAGACACCTGCAGGGTCTCGCTATCACGGCGAACTTTGTCGCATTCGAGGTCCTCTCGTTCTTCGTCGGCATGACCTCGATCATCACCGCGATGCTCCAGCCGCTCGCTGCCGACCTCGCACCGCCGCACCGACGCGCCAGGGCCATCTCCGTGATCGTATCGGGGCTGCTGCTCGGCGTGCTCATCTCGCGCGTGCTTGCGGGGGTGTTTGGCCAGCTGGCGACCTGGCGCGCGACGTACTACTTCGCCGTCGGGATCCAGGCGCTCGCGGTGCTCATCGCGTACTTCTTCATCCCCGACTGCCCGCCGTCGATACGCGGGCAGAGGCTGTCGTATACGCGCATCCTGTGGACGATGGGCAAGTTTGCGGGGACGGAGCCTGCGCTGATCCAGGCGTGCTTGGTCAATTTCGCGACGAGTGCGATGTTCACGAGCTTCTGGGTCACGTTGACGTTCCTGCTTGGCGGGCCGCTGTTCAATTATTCGACGTGCGTGGTTTTGGCTTCGCCGCTCTTGTCGTTTTCCCCTCAAAATTAGATAGACTGGACATCGGGCTGTTCGGGTTCGTTGGGATGGCTGGAGTGCTTTCTGCGCCACTCACGGGACGGTTCATCGATTCTTTCGTCCCGTGGTACCCAACTTTCATCTCTGTCCTGGCTCTGGGTGCCACGTATATCCTGCAAACGGCCGCCGAGGGGCTAAACATAGGGGCCGTGGTGGTCATCGCCTTCTCGTTGAACTTGTTCAGACAAATGAATCAATCTGCGTTGGCGACGACGGTTCTCAGGTGCGTTACCAGCCCCGCATCTACAGACAGCTCACGAAAATCTCCTCAGCATAGCTCCCGAAGCGAGATCTCGCTTCAACGCAGTCAACGTCTTATCGGCAAGTCCCCTTTCGTTGGATCAAAATCTTCCCCCAAACTTACAGATTGGCAGCTCTTTCTCGGACAAGTAGCCGGCACCGCTGCGGGGACGTCAGTCTACCTGCAGCACGGCTGGCGCATGACTGGTGTGCTCGCCCTCTCGTTCAGCGTTTGGCAGATTATCGTGCTTCTCGCTCGCGGTCCGCACTGCGAGCGTTATACGTGGTTTGGCTGGCAAGGCGGGTGGCAGATGCGAAAGACACTTGATTCCTCTGCAGAAATACCTGAAAAGTCGGGAGATCTTGAAAAGAGCAGCGCGGTTGCTGCCAATGAGTAGCTCAGCTGTATTATCATAGTCACGCAATGAACTAATGCCTCACGAATACCCCCGTTCGGAGTCTTCCCTGCTCTCTGTGCCTTCCTGGAGATGGAACGCCCTGGATCATAACGTGACTCAGCCCCAGAATCTCAAAAAACATAGGACTACGCGGGGGTGTCCCAAGAGAGTCGAGAGACATACTCAACGAATGACCATTTCCGATGTCATATTTCATGATGAACTTGAAAGATGACAACACTGCAGATATGAGGACCATTTTCTAATTGACTTAATGCCCAGTCTGTAGACTTGTAGATTGATGTACGCAGAATATCGTGGACCGATCCGCAAATACTCAGATGTGTATGACATCAGCTGTCGATGTTCATATATCACCGCGACTGAGATCATAGACTATTGCAAATAACATCTTAGTCTCTGCAGTTGATAGATATATTTCCTACAGCATTGGGCCACGAGACTGCGGGGGCTGATTTTTTACCGCGGTAGGTCCAATTTTCACAATTAGAATTGACGTTTTTCAATTTTTTGCTCTCAAAATAGGAATAAAAATAATATGCTACGTGTTGTGATCCGAGTCACACACAGGCACGTGAATCCTCACGTGGTGTCATCTTGTCACCCGTGACAATGTCATATCGAATTTCCCGCTTGGCATCCACTTCATACTGAGTGAAGGGGACTGTGATTCGAGTCTGTTGTTCATGAGGATAATTACATGGAACATCGTAAGCAAAATCTTCCCTCATTTTTGGTCTTCTAATCTGACCTAAGGCTCTCGACAGAATGGCATCCGCACCATTCCAAAGTATCACCCGTACGCGCTTCGTTTCCTTGGGTCCGCGGTGAAGTGACGCGTTTGTTCGGACTGGGAGGTGGAACGCAATGAAGACGCATGAAGACGTGTTGAATCATCTTGGGGCGGACATCATCTGCTTTCAAGGCGCGTCTGATACACTACAGATGCACTGCTGTTGCTGATGCACGGCACAGAGATGAAGTCTTCGCGCTCTGCACTCCCCAAGGCGACTGCTCTCCCGCCATCATACCACTCTTTTTTCTCGTTTCCGACCCACAAGACGGGTTATTCCGGCGTGGGTGTATACACGCGTCCCACCCCGCTTAGCGCAGATGATAGACTGTCGAGCACACGCGACGTTGATCCAACGTCTGCACCCCTCGACGTGGACGCTCAAGTACTCGATAGCGAGGGCCGTACGCTTATCCTCGACTTCGGCCTCTTCGTGCTCGTCAACGTGTATTGTCCGAGCGACTCAGCAAGCCAGGCCGACCCTGAACGTGACGCCGAGCGGTTCCGCTTCAAGATGGCGTTTCATCAGCTGCTGAAAGAACGCGTGCGCCAGCTAGTGCATCTGCAGGGACGGGAGGTTGTTGTCGTAGGCGACCTGAATGCGTGTGCAGACGTCATTGACCATGCAGAGGGTGCGCTCATCGAGGCGCGAGGGGAAGGCGGGTTCTGGGAGTATGAGCCTCGCAAGTGGTTGAGAGACTGGCTGGTAGATTCGTCGTTGGCGGTGGGGGGTGGATGTTTGGTGGACGTCGTGCGCAAGTTCTGGCCCGAGCGAAAGGCCATGTATACATGTGAGGGCTACCTATAGCTACGCGCCCACGAACTCACTCACGCACAGGCTGGAACACCAAGATGTCGGCTCGCGCTTCCAACTATGGCTCACGCATCGACTACATCCTCGTCACGCCCGGTCTGCTGCCTTGGATCAAAGCCGCGGACATCCAGCCTGACGTCAAGGGCAGCGACCACTGTCCCGTGTACATCGATCTGCATGACCAAATCACGCTGGAGTCCGGGGTGTTCGTGAAACTTGCCGATGTGCTGGGGAACCCGGAGCCTGGTGCCGAGCCACCCAGATTGGCAGCCAAGTTTTGGGAGGAGCATCGGCAGCGAGGGGTAGACACGTTCTTTGGGAAGGCCGGCGCGAAGCAGGTGGTCGCTTTAAAAAAGGATAGCCCGGTGGCGGAGATGAAGGCACCTAGTGCATCTCCTCCAGAAGACACTCCAAAGAGAGAACGGGACATTCTACAATCCTCTTCGTCATCGTCTTCATGCTTGCCCATTGCAGCGAAGTCGCCATCGCCTGCGTCGACTGCGAAGAGGAAGCAGAATGGGCCGACCCCGTCATCATCCAACTCCAAAAGGCCGAAGAACGGCCAGCCCACGCTCGCCTCGTTCTTCGGCTCCAAGTCCGCATCCGCATCGCAATCTTCCGTGACCCACTCCTCGGAGTCAACAATCGACTCGGACTACCAACTAGCGCTAGCGCTCTCAGCGGCTGAATCTGAGCCCTCCTCCAGTCCACCGAATCCACACACGGCACGCGCCTGGACGACGATTCTTGCTCCATTGGAACCTCCTAGATGTAGTGTACACGATGAGCCGGCGAAAGTGATGACGGTGAACAAACCGGGGCCGAATCGAGGGAAGACTTTCTTCGTCTGTTCGCGGTACGTTTTCCCTGCCTGTCTATAGCAAGCCAAGTCTCAATGAGGATCACAGCCCCGTGGGACCTGGGTACGATCGTGGACGGGCTGAGAGGTTGAGGGAAGAGGTTGATCCACGATGGAAATGCGATTTCTTCCGATGGGCTGCGGATGTGAGAGCGGAGATGGTTAGGAAGGAGAAGGATAAGTGATAACGACGCTTTTCACCTCGGCCTCAATTTTCTTGCGTGTAGCCATACTTGTACATATAGTTCGAGATCCTGTCCGAGTAGAAAGCATAATCTACCAGCAGTGGTGGTTCATTCGTATGAGTACGACCTGCTTTGGAATTGCTGCTTTTGGTGTTGGATCTGAGAACGGAAACGACCCATATCCGAAACTTCCTGACCCATGGCAAACGCAGCGATACGCCATAGTCAGCGATCCATCTAATCACAAGCAAGGAACACCGCAAGCCCGTGTTATGGTTTCAAACTCACGTCTGCACCAGTTTCCAGGAATCGAACTGCATGGCTTAAACTTGGGTTTCGTGCTTACTGAAGGCAGCCTGGTCATTTTTCCGAGGTCTGTTGTGACTTGAGGCCAACTTGCTCATTCAACAAGCTGTTCGGAAGCAGACAGACATTTATATCAACATCAAGTCCTTCTGCCAAATTTATATGTGGAACGTCGTCCCGAATGGTCTGCTTCTTTCATCTGGAAGCACAGTTGATTCCGAAAGTACCCTCTCAATTCTCAACGGGTATGATGACGAAGGAAACATGACATCATCATCCGTCTTCAGCCGAATCCAGCCCAATCGATCTGGATCAAATCGATTCTGACATCCCTCCATCCCCGTTCGCACTGTCTCCATCGGGTCTCACGACACCACCACCAGCACCACCAGCACTTGTACTCTTGACACTCAGTCCCTCCGTCCCTCCTTCCTCCCTCTTCCTGCTCTCCGCTCCGCCGGTACCAGTACTACCACACAAACACCACCGAACACACTAGGACAATGCCCCCTTCGCGCCGCGGCAGTGGCAGCATCGTGCTGCCCTCGGGACAGACGATGGCGATGCATACGAGGACGCAGGATGAGGAGGGGTTGGTCCATGCCACGAAGAAGTGCGTCATTGCCCGCTGTTTTCTGTCTTTCGCGTTGCATGTCTCGATTGCCATTTTCTGCTTTCTTGGATTGGATCGGTACCCTGTGCAGCATCCCTGAAGGGTCTCCCACTATTCGAGAAGGGTGCGGAGGCTTTGGAGAGGAGATATGCTTTGAATTGGGACAAGAATGGCATCCACAATCCGGAGAGTCCTGGTATACAGAACAGGGTCTGCGTCGTTTCTGAGCGGCAGGCCGTGAAAGCTGTCGCTGTGCCCGCATACGCTCTCTACCCGGGTCTCTTACCAGTGCTTTGGGGGATGCGTTGGCTCTGCATCCTTCTTCCATTCTGCGCGCGTCCCTCTCCCCTGCGATTCTAGATGGACTGACGTGAGACTGATCACTTACGACAGGACGATGGCAGACCACCTGCGGAAGTACGAGAGTCTGTTCACACTGACGCCGCAGCGGATGCGGATGATTGTCGAGGCGTTCCGAGAGACGCTTGAGGCGGGCCTAGAGAAGAAGGGGCAGATCGTGGTACGTGTCTCCCTTGGTCATTGCTCCCGTGTTCGTCTTCCTGACCACCATCCCGCACTACAGCCCATGATACCCACGTACGTGTTTGGATGGCCGACGGGCGAAGAGAAGGGCGACTTTCTGGCCCTCGACCTCGGTGTGTGACTGTGTTCCTGCCCCTTGGGCCTTGCACAGCAATGGTATCTGACGCACGACAGGCGGTACGAACCTGCGTGTGTGCCTCGTCACCCTGCAGGGCTCCGGCAAATTCGAGATCACGCAGAGCAAGTACCGGCTGACGGAGGAGCAGAAGCAGGACGAGGGCCAGAAGTTGTTCGATTTCTGCGCCGAGTGCCTGAAGACTTTCCTCGAGGCTGACGGGGGCGTGCAGATTCCCGAGGGCGGCAAGCTTAGTTTGGGCTTCACATTCTCCTACCCGTGCACCCAGGAGAGGATCGACCACGGAGAGCTGATCCGCTGGACCAAGGGCTTCGGCGCGCCGAATACCGAGGGACACGATGTTGCAGAGATGTTCAGGAAGTCGCTGGAGAAGTATGAGTTGCCGATTGAGCTGACGGCGTTGATCAACGACACCACTGGCACACTCATCGCGTCCCGATATGTCGACCCCAAGACTAAGATTGCGGTCATCTTCGGCACGGGGTGCAATGCGGCATACATGGAGACAGTGGGCGACGTGCCCAAGATCGGTGGGCTGGGAATCGAGGCGGAGGCGCAGATGGCGATCAACTGTGAATGGGTGAGCGCCGCGATTGGTAATCGATTGATCGCCCTAACGTCGTCATTCACGTCTTAGGGTGCGTTTGACTCGTTTGAGCATGAACATCTTCCTCGCACGAAATTCGACGCAATCGTCGACGACACGTCCAACAAACCGGGCGAGCAGGCGTTCGAAGTGCGTCTATGAACCGCTCATTCGCATCACAGCCGTGCTTAACAGTGGCCCCTCAGAAACTCATCTCCGGCCGGTACCTCGGCGAGATCATGCGTCTGGTTCTCTGCGAGCTGATCGACGAGGGAATCCTTTTCCTTGGTCAAAACACGTACAAGCTCGAGGCGCCCTACGTGCTGGACACAGCATTCCTCTCCCTGATGGAGATGGACCCGACCGACGAGCTGCTGATGGTCATCGGCATCTTCTCGCATTTCTTCGCGCTCGAGACCACGCTCGCCGAGCGGCAGTTTTTCCGCGCTCTCGCGAAGCTCATCGGACGCCGTGCGGCCAGACTGTCTGCGTGTGGAATTGCTGCGATCGTGACAAAGATGGGATACCTCGAGGGCGACTTGGAGAATGGGGAGAAATGTGTCGTTGGGGCGGATGGCTCGTTGTATAACGTACGTGCGCAATCTCATTGCAGCGGATGTAGTCTGATCTTAGCTGCGCCCCCCGATAGAAATACCCTGGCTTCGCAGACCGTGTACACGAAGGCTTGCAAGATGTCTTCGGCGACAAAGGCCGCAATATTGTCACGCAACACGCTGAAGATGGCAGCGGTGTTGGCAGTGCGATTATCGCAGCGATGACCAAGGCCAGAAGGGAGAAGGGGCTGTATCCGAATGTCTGAAGCAAATCCAACTGCTGTGTTTGTCGTGTTTTCAAATAGAGTAATCACTATACTTGATTGTCGTGTTAAATCAGGGAGTTCTGACAACGAGACAGTGAATTGACTCAACTGCCCCGTGGCCCAGCTGGTTAATGCGTTTGACTGTTATGGTTCTGGAGTGAAATTTTTTCATGAGAAGATCGAGAGTTCAAGTCTCTCCGGAGCAGCGTTCCAAGGATAATCACCCACTATGGCAGATTCATCCATGAAAGCGAGACAAAGCGTTAGGGACTTTCCTGCTACCATGCCTGATTCATCGTCAAAGTCGTTTTATCTCAATGACCAAGTGCACGAATATCGGCGCACTCCTTGTATCGTACTTCAATGCATGAACCATACCGAACTTGTCTTGCCCCCACTCTCAGTGCTAAAAAGGCTCCCTATCAGCCCCACCTGGGCTCAAGGATAACTGGATCTCAGGCGCATTTAGATCCAGTGGGTAGAACTGAGCGAAGCGCTAGGTGAGCCATGTGAGTCGCAAAATTGGGATTGAGTCCGGTGTTTCTTTCTCATAACTGTCGAACCTATGTAGAAGCGTCGGAAGAAGTCCGATCAGTATGTAAGTAAGTAGTACGTACGAGGTTAAATAATCCTCACGTGCCCAACATCGGCTGGCTGGCCGGCCGGCCGTGTGAATGATATCTTGATACTGACTCAACCGTCTTTTTTTCCTCTTCCATCATCAAGGGCCCAGCAAATCATTGACATCTTTCGAGAACCCTGGACCATGTTAGAGAGTCACTGCGGGCTGGCGCGTAAGGATGCCGCATTCTACCACGAGGATGGCGATCTTGTCATCAGAGTCGAGTCGACGCTATTCAATGTGAGGCCGATATTACCACGTGTTATTGTTCTTTCACGCCGACACGCGCTTCCACCGTTTTCTGGGCACCTAGATCCACCGTTTTCATTTGCGCGGATCGGCCGTCTTCCAAAGCATGTTCTCACTCCCTGTGGGTCCGGGGCAACTGCCTGACGGCCTGTGCGATGAGTTTCCGCTCCTGTTGGAGGGCTACACTGCCCAGGACTTTCGTGCGATTCTAAAATGGATGTACTCTACGTGCGTGTCCGCTGGCTCGCATATGCATCATGTAATTTGACTGCACACGCAGTCCGCTGGAGCTGAACATCCACTGCTTGCCCGTCAGGGCCATCGCTGATGTTGTCCCACTCGCAGCGTTCGCGCACAAATACGAGCTCGAAATGTGGAGGACCTGGGCCCTGTCCTTCCTTGATCTCTGTGTTACTGAAGAAACATCTTTGAAGCCGACTCAGTTCTCGCTGCTCCACACACTCTACGAGCAGATCAACGACTCTCAGCAACGGCAAAGGATCATGCAGTTCTGGGTCCAGTCGCTTGACGGGTTCCTCAGCACCAAATCGGAAATCATCGACGCCATCGATGCAGCAGAAACCCATGGCGAAAGGTATCCCTTGGCTAATCTCTACGCGCTGTACATCCGGCGTTTCTGCCCAAGTACCACCGCGACACTCCTGAAACCCGCCAAGCTAGAAATCGACACAGGGAGTGGCCTCGCTGAGATCCACGTGCAGCGAATCCTGACCGGGCATATGTCGCTCGCGCTCGGGTGGTCGAGCTGGCGCGTGAGTCCCGGTATTGAGCTTCCCTCGCCGCCGTCGGGCGCGAATTGGGTGGTTTCGGAAGCTTCTTTCGAGTCCGCGTGGCTTAAGGCAGCGGAGGCAGCGGATGCGGCGTACCCCGACACGATTGATGTCCTGGAACGCATTTCCATGATGAAGCATTATTTGACGGAGGGTATGACTGAGCTGACACGATCGCCGTATTCGCACAGTCCTGCTCAATACAAGGCAGTCTCGCAATCTTGGAGGTTGTATATCGCAGATGTTTGCGCGGAACTGGACGGTTTCCGGCTGGCAGATCATTTCTTCTGCTGAAGTGAGTTGGTGCAATGAATGTGCTCTGTAAAAAACAGTCGATGTCAATGACGGATTTGATGTTATGATCGAATTTACACTACGATTGTAATTTCACTCAACGTTAGGTGACAGCACTGCGTGGGGACTTGATTTTTTTCCGTGGAAAATGCGTGACAATCTAGAAGTATGGAAACCCGGAAGGCCCTGCTCAATAACCGAGACGGCTGACAGTGATGGCGTGATCTGGGGTCCCGCTCACCAAATTGTAGACTTAGACATCGGTAATATAGTTTTGTAGACAACTGTGATCATTAAGTAGCATGCTGATCCGACTCAGTCATAGTCAGTCAGAGTCATAGTATTATAATACACACGGTTACCGTGAACTGTTTGCCAGGACGTTGACAGGTGGCTGTGCCTGTCATTGTTTCTGCGGCCACTGCCAATCACGGTTTGCTTTGCACCGAGACAGGCGGTGGGCAGCCCTCGCTGTGACGGCTATGGCGGGAGTGACGGGGCGCCCACCACTGTCCGTCGCGAATTCACAAACGGACAAAGGCTGCACCCCGCCGCGTGGCCGTGCTCCCCACCCATCTTGAACTAAGCCGCAAGGTAACACTTTGAGAGAACAATGACGGGCGCTGTCTGTCCGTGAGTTCACAACATACCACAGTGGATAATCTCGAACTGCACGAGAAGAGCCCCACTTCTTTCTTCTGGAACCGCTGACCCCAAACCCGCGGCAAAAACCTGCTGCGATTCGTGCTGTGCGATGCTGCGACAATATTTTTGACGGGGGCAGGCTGCATGACCCAATGGGCTCAAGTTGTATCCCCATCTCTCCCACAATGCCACGAACGGGACGTTTACTGATTCAATGCAGGTCACTTGCCCACCCTGTTTTCCCAGCATCCTAGCGGCGAGCGTATATATAACACACCCACCGGGGGCCTACTAGTGCACTCCCACCACTCTCAGCGCCGCAATCAGTCCAATGGTGCAACCACAAGAAGTTGATGTTATCGTCGCGGGGGGCGGGCCTGGGGGCTGTGTCGTCGCTGGCCGTCTCGCGGTTGCTGATCCCTCCCTCAAAGTCATGCTCATCGAAGGTGCCTGCCTCGACTCCTCCTGTCGTGTGCCAGACGGTCTCTGATGCACACACTCACAGGGGGTGCTAACAACAGAGACGATCCCTGGGTAAGCTCGAGTGGCCGATCTGCGGCGCAGGATTCTGATTATCTTGTGTTCAAGTCTACCGGTCCGTCGTTCATGACCCACGCTGCTTCGTTCCCTCGCACTCACCGCGGATCCGGATCGCAGACCGGGCATCTACGTCCGCAACATGCAGCGCAACGGCATGTAAGTGATCCTGACCGCGTTACCCGGGCCTTCCGTGGGCTGACCGGGCCACAGAAACGACAAGGCCACGTTCTACATCAACACGAAGGCCTCGTCGCATCTCCGCGGAAGACAGAGCATTGTCCCGTGCGTGCCCCAGTTCTTTTTTTTCGCTCGGTGATGTGAGTGACCGGATTTTGTTCGATCCAGACGCGCGAACATCCTCGGTGTGTAGACCACCGCCTCGTGGAATATTCCTCTCACAGTTCCGTGCGACCAGGCGGAGGGAGCAGGTCAGAATGCCATTCTTCGATGAGCCCCGCAGAGATAACCCGAACCCCCGTAGTATTAATTTCCAGGTCAGTCAGTCGGCAAACTTGGGCAGTACAGTCGAGTTCACATGACTTAATGTTTCTAGATTTACACAAGGGTGAGTTCAATTGTGTTTTTGTTTTGCTCAGGCTAATTTGGGTCTCATGGCTCAACGCAGGCATCCGCCTCCGATTGGGGTGATTTCTGCTCGTTTAGCTCAGCGTTCTTCGAAGTTGACGGGTTTCAGATGACTGCAAATCCGAGGGATGGACTGCGAAAGGTGCGGTGAAGCGGTCCACTTTGAACATTGCTGATTAAGCAACCTCACCAGATCTACTGCCTTTGATGAAACAGGTATTGGCAGTTATGACGTAGCAAGCAGCTTGGTACACAGCCTGTCACGTGTCTAATCTCGGATCATGTGATTCTACTTAAATACTATTTTTGTCGTGTTGCATCCTTAGTCTTCCTGCCCCTATCAGGCTTGACTGAGGACTTAATGATCAAAGCTGTCTACAAAACTATATTACCAATGTCTAAGTCTACAATTCGAGGAGCAGGACCCCAGATCACACCATCACTGTCAGCTGTCCCGGTTATTGAGCAGGCCGTCTCGGTTATTGAGCAGGGCCTTCCGGGTTTCCATATAGAAGTCCGATTTTCACCGTTATGTTTTCAGACAAAAAATATATATTGAAAATAGACGTCGATTTACAGCTCAATTTTTACCATGAATAGACATCTATTCCTCCCGAAAACAGAACTGTAAATAGATCATTTTTGATTGATTGATTCTCACTGGGAATAGACGTCGATCTTCACTGAAAAAGGAAACAAAAAAAGATGATCTTTTCTCACTGAAAACAGATCAAAATCACTGGAAGAATCTGTTGATCCTGGCCCCAAATTGCATCTCTGGCCTTGCAAAAGGCTACTGGATGCTACTCACAACATGTTGGAATCATGCTGTAGGGCTTGTGATGTGAATTGGGGCCGGAATCAACAGACTCTTCCAGTGGTTTTAATCTGTTTTCAGTGAAAAAAGATCATCTTTTTTTTATTTCTATTTTCAGTGAGAGTCGACGTCTATTCCCAGTGAGAATCAATCAAAAAAATGATCTATTTACAGTTCTGTTTTCGGGAGGAATAGATGTCTATTCATGGTAAAAATCGAACTGTAAATCGGTGTCTATTTTCAATATATATTTTTCGTCTGATAACATAACAGTGAAAATTGGACTTCCAGATTGTCACGCATTTTCCACAGAAAAAAATCAGTCCCCCCGCGATGTATCCCCAGCCAGTCATAAGATTATGTCTCCGCACAACAATAACAATCACGGGCAAGCACTGATTCAATCACTACTTAATTTGGAACGGCGAAACTCTCCTTGTAGAGCTTCGTAAGTTAGTCAACACATTACTAGACCAGTCGGACCATTTCATCCTTCATATCTTCTCATGCAGTTGCTACCCTCTAATTACTTGACATTTTTGTCTGTTGGTCCCACGGACTTTCCTCTAATGTTTCTGATGCTTTTACTCCACCCATGCACGGACAGAACACGATCCAAAGTTTCCTCTTCAGTCGTATAGACTATGCCGATATCTCCGCAGGGCGAAATGGAAATTTACGTTGTCGACGTGGAAATCCAGTCCTTTCAACGGACAATCAAAGAAAGTATCATTCGAACCGGCAACTTCCGAGAGTCAATGACGTTAGTAGTCTCAGGGCACCCCCTCACGTGGTGCATGTGCCGAAGATCACGAACACATTCTTTCCTCTTCTCCCTTTCCGGCTTTCATTGAGACCAGAATGGAAATCGAAGACCCTGCTGATCAGTTTGCAAGAGACTCCAAGCACTACCACGATGACGGTGACATTGTTATCAGAGTGGAAGGAAAATAAGTGTGTATTCAATGGGGACAGGTCCATCGCTTCATCTTTCGGGAATCTGCAATTTTTCGCAGCATGTTTACGCTTCCCGGGGGCCCCGGCGCTGCTGCAGAAGGCTCTTGCGACGGATCTCCGCTGGTTCTGGAGTATTACTGCGCGGCCGAATTTCGCATGGTGCTGAAGTGGATGTACTCTCGGTGCGTCGCTGTTGTGATATTTGCATCCGTCGCGATTCAATCGTGATGATACTTCAGCCCCCTCGCGCTGAATGTCAACCCAAGAGCGACGGCACGGTTGAATGAATTCTCACGTGCCCGACATCGGCTGGCCGGCCGGCCGTGCGAATGATATCTTGATGCTGACACAGCCGTGTTTTTGTCCTGCTCTATCACGAAGGGACCTGCGAGCCGGTGATAACTTCCAAGAACGCTCGACCATGGTCGGAAATCTCGCCGGCCCAGTGCGCAAGGACGTGAAATACTACCATGAGGATGGTGATCTGGTCGTCAGAGTCGAGTCAACACTCTTCAATGTAAGGCCCTAATACCACGTGTTACTGCTCTTTCACATCGACACGCGCTTCCCCCATTTTCTGGACGCCTAGATCCACCGTTTTCTTTTGCGCGGATCGGCTGTCTTCAAAAGCATGTTCTCACTCCCTGTGGGCCCGGAGCAACTGCCTGACGGCCTTTGCGATGAGTTTCCGCTCGTGTTGGAGGGCCACACTGCTCAGGAGTTTCGTGCGATTCTGAAATGGATGTACTCCCCGTGCGTGTTAACTTGGCTTGCGTATGTATCGTGTTGTTTGACTGCGCACGCAGTCCGCTGGAGCTGAACATCGACTGCTTGCCAGTCAGTGCTATCGCTGATGTTGTCCCACTCGCAGCGTTCGGGCACAAATACGAGCTTGAAATGTGGAGGACCTGGGCCCTGGCCTTCCTTAATCTCTGCGTCACTCAAAAAAAATCTCTGGTGCCGATTCACTTCTCCCTGCTCCACGCACTCTACGAGAAGATCAACGACACTCCGAAACGGGAGATGATAATGCGGCTCTGGGTCAAGTCCCTTGCAAAGTGTTTCAGCACCCAATCCGACATCATCGCCGCGATCGATGCAGCGGAAACCCATGGCGAAAAGGATCACCTGGCTACTCTTTACGTGCTGTATATCCAGCGTTTCTGTCCAACATCCAGCGCGACACTCCTGAAACCGGCCGCGCTCAAAATCGACGCAGGGGGTGGCCTCGCTAAGTTCCACGTGCAGCGGATCCTGACCGGGCACATGTCCCTCGCACTCGGATGGTCGAGCTGGCGCGTGAGTCCTGGTATAAAGCTCCCCTCGCCGCCGTCGAGCGCCAGCTGGGCGATTTCGGACGCTTCGTTCAAGTCCGCGTGGATTAAGGCAGCTGAGGCAGCGGAGTCGGCGCACCCCGACACGGTCGATGTTCCGCAACGCATCTCCGTGATGAAGCGTTTGTTAACGGAAAGTATGCGTGAACTGACACGAACGCCGAATTCGCGCCACCAAGCTCTGTACGATGCATTCTCGCCGTCTTCGAGTGCGTATATCGCAGATGTGTGCGCGAAATTGGACGGTTTCCGGCTGGCGGATCATTTCTTCTGTTGAGCTGTGTTCAGGCAGAGGAGGCACAGTCGGAATATCATACGCTTTAATTAGTAATTACTTGACAAATGCGCCCCTTGGTCCAACAATCTTTCCTTGAATGTTTCCCGACGGTTCTACTCCAAATGGAAATTTCCGTTGTCGACATGAAAATATCCAGTCCTTTCAACGGCCGATCAAAGAAAGTATCCTCCTAACCGGCCACTTCCGAGAGCCAATGACGTTTGTAGTCTCATGGCAACCCTTCACGTGGTGACGAAGATCACAAACGTATTCTTACCTCTCCTTCATCCAAACCGGGATGGAAATCGAAGGCCCTGCTGATCAGTTCTCAAGAGACTCCAAGCACTATCACGATGACGGCGACCTTGTTATTAGAGCGGAATTAACGCTCTTCAATGTATGTGCAGTATTCTTCGTCGTCAGGAAGTATATGTGGGTTGAATCAGCATAGGTCCATCGCTTCATCTTCCGAGACTCTGCAATTTTTCGCAGCATGTTTACGCTCCCCGTGGGCCCCGGCGCTGCTGCAGAGGGCTCTTGCGACGGAGCCCCGCTGGTTCTGGAGGGTTACAGTGCGGACGAATTTCGCATGGTGCTGAAGTGGATGTACTCTCGGTGCGTCGCTGTTGTGATATTTGCATCCGTCGCGATTCAATCGTGATGATACTTTAGCCCCCTCGCGCTGAATGTCAACACACTCCCCTCGGATGTGATCGCAGATGTTATCCCGCTTGCTGCGTTTGCGCACAAGTACGAGCTCGATGCGTGGAGGGAGTGGTCACTCTCGGTCATCGACTATCGACTGAAGCCAGCGAGAAAGAAGGATTCTGGCAAGCTTCCACTCTCTCGCCTGCATACTCTGTTCGAACGCATGGACGACTCTCCAAGGCGATCGAAGATCATGAACATGTGGATAGGGTCTTTGCAAGAAAAGACGTCAGTACCGAGTTGTGTTGAAGCGATCTCTGCTGCCGAGCGTGTCGGCGACAAGGAGAGCTTAGTCAGACTCTACATGATCTTCATCCGCCAATCTTGCGTCGAGCCTCAGACCATGCTGATCAACCCCAAGCCGCTCCGGATCGATCAAGTGGGACTGGATCCGATCCACGTCCAGCGCATTCTCATGGGATACATGTCACTCGCTCTCGGATGGTCGGCTTGGCGTGCAAAGCCTCCAAACAACCTGCCTTTTCCTGGGGGTAAAAGGTGGTCTCTGACGAATGGCGTGGCGCGGGATTTGTGGCTCAGTGCTGCGGAGAAAGCGGAGAAAGCATATTCGGCTGTCGTCGACGTTCCCCAAAGACTGGCCATGATGGCTGATGAATTTGGACGGAACTGTATTTTAACCATGAATCCATTCGCGACGGCCGAAAATTCTTCCCTGACCCAGTATCCCAACGATCTGCATGCTTTTTTCGAAGCGTTCAAGCTGTTGCACCATTTCTTTCCTGAGTAGAGGACGAGGGCCAGATACATAGGTATGCCGAGGGTGTCACGGAATTCTGTTGTGAAAGCATCAAGAGGTGATCTAAAGGATATGGCACATTACCTGTGTTTCTTGGAATGCATTTTCTTTTATCGATTTGAGTGCTGATTCAACTCAGCGATACGTCCGTCATTTTAGAAGCCTCGGAATCATGGGGCTATCTATCTCTGAAGCGGCACCCTGTTCGAGCCCGTTTTCCACATTCTAAAAGACAGGCACTGCGTTGAGTGTCGATGGTGCCGCGCATCGTAGTCACTCAGACGTATCCGCCGAAGTTTCGGCAATGTATCGATTAATTATCCTTCCTCTCACCTACTTATCATGCGAAACTTTGATGACTCTTTAACAGGATATTCTGTGGGGTATCACCGAGTGGGACAGTGCAGGATGTGGGACACTTGCGCTCTCGAGAGACGAAATGAAGGAGAATTGTCATTGTAGCGTAGCCAAATCATACATTCACCTTGGGGGAGCTCCCATTTCAAGTTTCGCGACCATTGGTTTAGTCGTTCTCACAAACGAGACGAAATGATCATGATTTTGGATCAGGAGGCCCGAAATCCTTAATCGGGAAAGACAATTTGTCAGCCGCATCTCTTCGTTCTCACCAACCACTCAACGCTTCCTGGCAAGACCGCCACCATTCGAGACGCACGACTTTAGGCTCCAATCGGACACGACGAGTTCATGCTCCCCGCAGCCTATCTCACACACCACTGCATGTACGAGGGATATCACCGAGAATCGTTTGGAGGATCATGTGCAAAAGGCAAAGCTGCTATGGAACAAGCTTTGGGGCCACAACCCTGAGTCGTGGCAAGGGCTCTATATACGGTATGGGCTGCACTTTACAGCAAGCGGACTATTTTACAGATTTTTTTTGGTGGTGCTAGAGTCACGGAGACGGAAACAGCCTGGATATGACACCTCCTCGTTCCCAAATGTAATGCGCTTGCAAGTCTTTGCTGCGACATGCAAGGATGGTATCAGAAGGTCAATAGGGATCCCTAGTACGTCCCTTAAAGGTCATATGGTGTCATCTTCACAACTGAATATGTAGTTGTCGTCGTTGTCAGCCGGGTTTTGCCCTATTTGGGTCCCCGGGACATGGCGTCCCTGCCCGCGCAGCCTCACCAATTCGATCCAACTTCCTACGGCGAGCCATTTTGCCTTCCCACATCTCAATTCGAGCCACATCTGGGTCTCTGTGTCCCGTTATAAGCTGTGGGGCTTTCTTCGGTCAGCAATCACGGCGCCCCCATTCCTACTCGATTTGCCCTCCAAAACCCACTCTCGCCCATGGAGCCTCGGCGCTCATCACGGTTGAAGGCCTCCGTGCCTGATCTTTTACCGCCTCCGCCGCTGCCGCCTCCCACAACGCCAGCAGTTCCAGCCACGGCTACCGAGCCTGCATCCGACATTGACTCCTCTGAAACCAATCTACCTGAGCTGGTCGACATAGATCCCGACAATATCACACAGGAAGCACTTGACCCCGCCGATTTTGTCGACACTCCAATGGAAGACCTCGACATCGAGGTTCGATACGAGCTGGCGCTGGTTTCCATTCGGGAAGGGGGCATGTCCTTGCGTGCCGCAGCAAAGAAGTACTATGTCCCTCGTTCTACCCTCTCTCGGCGCATGAATGGCGCTCGAAGTCGTCAAGACGGGCACGAGGACCAACAACTCTTAACAAAGCCAACCGAAGCAGGAGTGGATCAAGGCAAGTTGTATCTTGGTTCTGCACTCTGACTCTCAACGCCTCTTCTAGGTTTGCGGTCAACGCGGTATGCCCATGTCCCTCAAGACTGTTGAGGATTTGGGGACACAGTTGGCAGGACGTCCTGTCGGACGCAGTTGGGCTCAGCGGTTCAAGGTATGTTTTCCATGCCATTGTTCTTCATCCTGAATCTGATTCGATAGCAGAGTCGGCACGCAAACGAGCTGACCGTTCGCTGGACTCAACAGCTTGAGAAATGCCGCGCAAACAACCTGAACACAACAACAGTCAATCAGTACTTCGACTTGCTTGGCAATACAATTGAGAAATACGACATCAAACCTTCAAATATATACAACATGGACGAGAAGGGGATTCAGCTCGGGTTATCAGGACGGGCCCAGGTCCTTGTCGACAGAGATCAGAAGGTGGTGCGGCGGGTTACAGATGGCGATCGCGAACTTGTCACTGTCATCGAGACAGTCTGCGCTGACGGCTCCTCCCTTGCGCCGACAGTGATCTTCCGTGGTGCGCGACGCGATGCAAATTGGAGCAAGGACAATCCATGTGGAGCGAGGTGAGTGGTTCCTTCATCCTTCTCTTGTGTTTTCGGTGTCTTATACAATAGCAGCATCGCCGTTTCTCCTCGTGGATGGACTGATCAACATCTCGGATCGCTCTGGCTGGAGAAGACATTCCAGCCTGAGACTCTCTTGCGTTTAGAAGATCCCAGCAAATATCGGCTTTTCATTCTCGATGGACATAACAGCCACTGTACCTATCGCTTTGCCAGCTTTGCAGAGCAGCATCGCATCATCATCCTGTGTTTGCCTCCTCACACCACACATGCGCTCCAACCTTGTGATGTTGGGGTCTTCAAGCCGTTGTCGTCCTATTGGCAGAAAGAGGTTCATGAGGTGTGTGAAGAACAAAACGCTGACTGCTGTATAATTCATTGACATATATAACTACTCAGTTGAATGTACGAGGCTCACAAGTGAACAAGAACAATCTTCTTGTTGTATATTCCAAAGCAAGAGCACGAGCGTTCAAGAGAGAGACAATTCAAAATGCGTTTAGACGAAGTGGAATCTGTCCATTAAACCGGAACGCAGTTCCGAAGTACGAGTTCGAGCCTGCCAAACTATTTTCTACTCGAGCAAGCGTTCCATCCCTTCCTCCCCAACCCAATCTCTTCGTTTCTCCGGTTTCTGAGTCAGTGCTGCAGTCGAACGAAGCTATGGCTGATCCTGATCATACGCCACCCTCTTTGAATGCATCATCAACACCTCCTCCGTCAAGTCCACCACCGTTGACCCTGCCACCATCGACTCCACCGCAAACCACATCTGAAGCAGAGGACGTTCTTCGACAAATTCTCCGCATCGGGATACCCTCTCCCATCAAAGGTCCGGCATTGCGAAAGGTTCTCTGTCAAGAGAATCTCAGGCTTTGAGATATCCTCCTCGCCGCCGATGTGCAGCTACAGCAGGATCAGGCACAGATTCTACTGCTTGAGATCGAGAACCAGAAACTGCGAGAGAATTGCTTTGCCAAGAAGAATCGGGGAAAGCGAAAGTACATCACCACCGCGGCACATCTACTGACACCAGAGGAGACGAGTTGCGAGGAGATCAAGCAGGAATGGGGGCCTACATTGAAGCAATTAGGTCGGGTCCTTGCGCACATCGAAAACTGGATGTCTGAGAACGGACGGGATCATGATGGCTCTGCCATATCTCCACCACATGCATTCGATTGGATTGAAGAGGAAAAGCTTGACCCTTGGCTCAACAAGGCCCTCTTCCGGCGGAAACTGCGTCGCCCACTGAGTCGAGGATGTAAGGGTTGTGCGTTGGCTGGGACGGTCTTTGTACCAATGGCTATTCCAGTACGAGGTGGTGGAAGGGGACGGGGTAATGGCCGAGGGCGCCCAAAGGGTCCAGGGCATGGACGTGGCCGCGGTAACAGTAGAGGGAAAGGGCGCGGATCCATAGATAGTCAAACTGGTCGACGAGGACGAGGGCAAGGCAGTCGCGGTCAAACCAGCAGACGAGGTGGCAGAGGCAGAGGGGATAGCTCGGACGACTCAACCCCAGTCTCGGATGACGAGGAAGAGTTGGATATGTCTTTGCAAGCTGAGACAGAACATGATTTGGACAGTAGCGAGGACTGGGACACACCTCCACCTTCAGCCAAACCTAGCCGTCCAACATCTCCATCTCTAAAAGATCCTCCTTCCTTTGATTCACCCAGTAATGACCCGGGTATGGTCCAAGTCGTAGAACCCGACAGTGGCAGCGAGGATGAGGAGGAGACCGTGGTGACAAGTATCAATGGGCACCGGTGGATACAGGGCAACCTGGAGTTCATGGTCGTCTGGGAGGATGGCGATATCACCTGGGAGGCACTCAGCAATGTCGACGAGTGCGAGGCAATGACAATATACATCGAAAACCGTGGACGAGTTGACCCGCTGGACCTGCCCAAACGCAAACATCTCATTGATCGATCGCTACAACCCACGGTTCAGCAATGACTAGCATATTTCGTGTATTCTACAGCGTAGAACCACGTACCGACCATAGTTGCAGTCGAAAGACGGGCAGATTCTGTCAAATCAGCGATTTGTCCCACATCAGCGTAGTTTCCCTTTTTGGACATTCGACGGGAAAATATTTGTAGAGCTCGTCACATTGATAAATAATTTATGCAGCTTTCATGAGGGTCTACATAGGATCCTTGCCCATGGATTCACATACGTGAACAAGGTATAATATGCATTCATTAGTATGTTACGATCATGATTTCCTTAGGTGTCCCGCATCCCGCATCTCCACAGTTTAGGCTGTGCAGCGAATTTTTGTTACATACAATTCAGAAAAAGAACTCGCTCAGAGATTCAATGGAACCGGTCTCTCTTCCAATACATGCTGAAGAAATATTCTTTACCTTGATATATTGCGTGACATCTCATTCGAAATCGCGCTTCCGTCACGCGTGAGCTGATTATTTCAACCATTCAGAATGACGTCGGACACGTGCATCCTCTTATCGGAGGAAAGCTGGAGAGCTCAATAGGCCGAGCGTTTCGATAAGGTGTCCGTGTGTCCTTAGATCGCGCTGATCCAGCGCCCCCAGCCTGTCGCAGAGTCATCGGCCGACAACCCGACCCATCACGCCTCGCCGTTTCACGCCAAGCACCGGCAAGCACCGGCAACGAGTCGGCCTTCTCCTCTAGCTACCACGCTAATGTGCGCTTCCACATGAGAACTGTCATTTGCAGCTCCTACTACTCGACGTTGGCTCCTGGTGTGACGCGGACGATTATCTCTCAGAGGAAGAAGACCCTGGGGACAGCGCCGACGGTGAACCAGCGCACAAATTCCGCCTCGACGTGTGAAAGGGATCGTAATTTCGTGTTTACAGGTCTGATTCAGTGCCTGCCTGCATCTCAATCTAGCTTCTTGACGACGACCGAAGACACAGCACAGCCCTCAGACCCGAGGACAAAGAAGCGGCATTTCTGCTTGGAATATTCCCCAAGTCCACATGCCCGATCGAGCCTTCGGACTTGTTTCGCATTAGACCCACGGAGTTGGATTTGTGATGATCAACCCGGGCGAGAGAGAGTAGGCATCTTTATTGCGCTGCGCAGCGTGTGAGGTTTTCGGGAATTGGTGGGGCAGCCAAGTGGTAGGCGATCTTCGCACAGTCTTTACCCACGGGGTAAGGGTAGTGTATATAAGTACGTCTCGAGCTCCCACAGTCCAACTACCTCTCCTTTCTCCTTCTCAACCGACCATGCAGTTCGCGAAAACCGCTCTTGCGCTCCTTGCCTCGGCCCTGTACGTCGCCGCGCAGAACCAGGTTCGTTTTCACCGGTGGCGTCGCTCATATGTCTCACCTGTCTCGAAGACTGTGACCGTCCAGGTCGGAGGCACTGCTACGCTGGCCGGCGGCGTGTTCCAGTTCATCCCGTCGAGCATCACCGCCACGAACGGCTCGGTCGTGACGTTCCAGTTCACCGGCAAGTGCGTATGCGTCTGCTGGTGGTGCAGAGTTCGAAGCCGATTCTGACGCGCCACGATCGGTAGCCCGGGAAACCACAGCGTGACCCAATCGTCCTTTGCGGACCCGTGCAACCCGCTCAGCGGCGGATTTGACTCGGGCTGGATCTTCCTGAACAGCACGAGCGTGACGGCCGCACAGTCGCCTACGTGGGAGCTGACTATTACGGATGACTCGAAACGTGGGGCTTTGGTTCCATTCCGCATGTCCGTTCAATCCATAACTGATGCCGCTTTTCCCACAGCGATCTGGTTCTACTGCAAGCAGCTCAAGCCGAGTCCGCACTGCAAAGCCGGTGCGTGTCGTGCTCTGGTACCGTTCAGGACGTAAGGCTGAGATGTCGAATTTCCAGGCATGGTCGGCTCGATCAACGCACCTGCTTCCGGCAACACGTACTCCTCTTTCAAGGCCAACGCGGTCGCCTTCACTGCCACGCCCGGTGTACGCCTTTTTCATATCTAAGCATCTTGGAAACCAGATCAGCTGATCACCTCCTGCAGCAAGCGCAAGGCGGCCTCGTCGGAGTCGGCGCCTCGGCCTCGGCCGTACCGGTCCTCCCCAGCGCCGCTACGCTCGCTCCCGGCACACTCACGGGCTCCGCGCCGGCCGCTAGCGCTACGGCGCCCGGTGCCAGCTCGGCGGCGAGCGGCAGCGCCAGTGCCAGTGCCAGCGCCAGTCCGACATCCGGAGCGGCCGGCGCTGCGTCCCTCGGAGGATCGGCGCAGGCTCTGGCGCTGCTGGTCGTGTTCGCGACTGGTGGATTCATGCTGTTTTAATCTCTTCGATGATACTGCATGAGAGAGGGAGAGAGGGGATGTGCCCTCAAAAGGATTGTGCTTCTGTGACAGTTTAGTTCATTCACCGTCGTCGTCGTATATTTACATTTGCAGTAGTAGTTTGCATTCGTAATTCATTCACTTGCGTCAATCAATCAGAGATTCTCGGGGCCCCGTCGTAGTATGGAACCACGAACGGCATCTTGTACCCACGGAGAACCCGTGTGAGAACCCGCTCCCGGCAAGCATTTGCTGAACCGCTCCGTATCGTTCGGGTAACATCCATCGCCTCTCCGCATGCCGTTTGACGACCGCCGCTGGAGGATCTACTGCTGGATGAGAGATGCAGAGTGATCAGTCTGGGAGGATACCCAGCGGAGCGTTAGCTTGATGGGGCGAGCGCGGGTGCGTGTGTGATCCTCGCACGATCGTAGTTTTCGTGTTGAGATCCAGATGATCATGATTCGATAGCAGTCGGTTTGAATCTTCAGCGGGCGGGATTTGGATCAAGTATCTCGAGAATTCTGAGACGTGGTAATTTCGTCGCTTCGACCAGCGTAGCTAGCAGGTGAGCGAGGAGGGGGCAGCCAGTGAGACTCAGGGTTTTGGAAGAAATTCAGAAGATCGCGGAAAGGATGGGGACAAAGCTTTTGCGTCGAAGATAGTGGAGGCGAATTTAAAAGACGAAATGTAGAATCGCAGCAGTTGTTCTAAGCACCGGTTGAAGAGTCCGAAAAAACACACAAGATTCCGGGCACGATATGAACCGAGCGGCTACTGTAGTACTCCCTTGACTGGTGGGTGATAATCTGGACTGCTCCTCAGAGCATCTCAGTCGATCTTTGATCTGCTTTCCGTAGACCCGACTCTCAAATGACATTCTATTTGCACTCAAAGTCGTCCCAGCTCATCGGAATTGTTGGTGTGTGTGCAGACCCGTAGGCATGATGACAGAGACAAGATAGAGCCCGTGGTCGTATCTTTGTCCGCGTCTGTGTTGAGGACCGAGTCGATTTGGGTCAATAACAGAAGCTGTGCCAAGTCAGACTTGTGCTCTTCAATGCAGGGCTGAAAATTCGGATGGTGATCCCAGGCATAATTCGGGATAGTCTGCGAGAGGACGATTCCATTTGCCAGAAAGGCCACTCAAGTACGAGATGGACAATCCGTGACCGCGAAGGTGACATGAGAGCTTGTTCAACTTTCCGTTTCTTTCGATGTGTCTGCGTTGCCAATTGTGGGGTCGCATGCATCAGTGAACTGTAACGAGTTCAGTGTGATGCAGCCCCTGAGGTAGTTTTTCGTGGAGAAGCCTAAATTCAGCTCAGAAAGTGTGTGGAAAGACCTTTCTTGGGCAGAAAGAGGTCAACAAGGGTCAAGGGAGCTGGCTACGGGAGAGCCCCAACTAACGAGTAGCTATGAAGAAAAACCGCTTAGCGGCGGCCGCTCCATGATACCGGCATGATCCGATCAAGGCCGAAGTTGACACACCAAGACTTTGCCGTCGGGCCATCGTGCCGTGTCAAGAATCTTCCAAATGCAGCGGGGAGAAACAGATGGGAGATTTTCAGTGTTACACCTAGAGCTCGCGGGCACAGAACCTTGCGTTCCAAGGACGTGCTCACACAGCGCGACTTGCAAGAAAAAAATATCTCAAAGAGAAGCTTCGGCGCATCACTACTGCCGAGTACATTATATCCGATCACCACAGCGACCCTTCACGCCGTCACCACCTTTTGCCTTCCTTCCTTCATCCCTCTCCCTCTTTCTGCTCCGTCGTCGCTGTCCCACCTTGGCTCCGTCCCTCGCCCCCACTGCCCACACGCACCAGCACTCGAACTCCCTTTACCTGCAGCCATGTCTGACCCAGGCGGCGCACACGGGCGCAACCCATACCCCTTCTCGCCCACCCCCTCCGGCTCGAACGTGAACCTCCTCCCCACGATGGGCGGCGGGGGTCCCGGCGGACCCCCGAGTCGACGCACGTCCATGCGCTCGTTCGGCGGGGCCAGCAGCATTGCCGGGGCCGGGTCGTCGGACACGCACTCCATATCCGAGAAGGTGTGTGGCGCCTATGGGATACGTCACCCGCCGCCCGGGCGTTGTGTCCTTTCAGCTTACTGACTGTGCTCCCTCCCACTCTCGCAGTTCCACCTCGCGGCGGACCCGACGATGTGGGACTCGGATTTGACGCGTCCCGAACCGGACGACGCGCTGCACACGCCCGACCCTCGGCTCGACCGCGGGAAGAGCGGGACGATATTCACCGGACGTGGGATGGAAAACATAGGGTGCTTGTTCATCCTCGGTGCAGGAATCGTCGCGCTTTTGTGAGTGTCTTTCTATTCTACGCGCTGAGAATGAGGAAGCTAACGCGTTTGCGCAGTCTAGGGTATCCCGTGGCGCAGCATTTCACGCAGAAGCATACCACGAATACGATTTCGGCGAACGTGGTAAATGGGACCGGGCAGGTCCCGAGTATCGGGAATTTTGGGTTGATTGATTTGGAGACACCCAAGGTTTGTCTGCGCGTGGTATCTACTTTCTGTGGATGACGGTTTTGACGCCGGCGGCAGGAGTTACACAAGATATATGGCTTCCACGACCCGACGCAGGAGCTTCAGCTCGTGTTCAGCGACGAGTTTAATACCGACGGTCGGACGTTTTATCCCGGCGACGATCCCTTCTGGTGAGTGTCCGTGCGTGCGAAGATGACCAATTCTGACATGCATACAGGGAGGCCGGCGACATGCACTACTGGTCGACGAATGATCTGGAGTGGTACGACCCCAAGGCGATCACCACTCGTGGCGGGGCGCTGGAGATCACGATGACCGAGGCGCCCGACCCCAGCCAGAACCACAACCTGAACTACACCAGTGGGATGATGAGCACATGGAACAAGGTCTGTCCCGTCATGATCGTTGCCAAGGATCTATAAATAACACCCGTCCCCCGCAGTTCTGCTTCACCGGTGGCCTTATCCTCGCCAATGTGCAGCTGCCCGGCACGAACGACGTTTTCGGTTTATGGCCCGCCGTTTGGACGCTCGGTAACCTTGGCCGGGCGGGCTACGGTGCGACGCTTGACGGCATGTGGCCATACTCGTACGACTCGTGCGACGTTGGGACACTCGCGAACCAGACCCACCCCGGCGGCGGACCCGTCGCCGCTGCGGACACCGGAACGAACAACGGACAGCTGTCGATTCTTCCCGGTATGCGGCTCTCGCGGTGCACGTGTGCCGGCGAGTCGCATCCCGGCCCGATCCACGCCGACGGGTCGTACGTGGGGCGCTCAGCGCCCGAGATCGATATGTTCGAAGCGCAGATTGGGGGCAGCTCGCCGAATAACTTTGGTGCTGTATCGCAGAGTGCTCAGTGGGCTGTATGTCGTTTTACTTTGTCATTGTTCGATACAATCGGACTGACGAGAGTGTAACAGCCGTTCAACGCGTACTACGCGTGGTACAACACATCGGACAACTTCCAGATCCCCGATCCTGCCATCTCGCAGCTCAACTCGTATGCCGGAGGAACCCTGCAGCAGGCCTCCTCCGTCGTGTCGCAGTCCAACCAGACCTGCTACCAGCTTGTCCAAGATTGCTTCGCATTGTATGGTTTCCAGTACCAGCCCGGCTACGACAGTGGAGTGAGTCATTGTGTTTTCGCTCATCCTCGTCGCGAGTGACTTTCGATCTGACCGGGTGGGCACAGTACGTCTCGTGGATCGCAAACGGCAAGGTGTCGTGGTCGGTCAGTGGAGCTGGTTTCCAGGCGGATACGCGTGTGGAGATTGGCCCGCGGCCCGTCACCGAAGAGCCTCTCGTGAGTCAACGTTGCTGGCTGCTCTATTCATCGTCGCCAGTTTCTGACACCATTTCAATTGCGCAGTATATCATTGTCAATCTTGCCATCTCGCACTCCTTCTCGTGGATCGACTTCGAGCGTCTGATATTCCCCGCGATTATGCGTGTCGACTATATTCGTGTCTATCAGCCTGCCGACCAGATCAACATCGGGTGCGACCCACCTAACCGCCCGACGCAGGACTATATCAACACGTGCGTTGGTTCCCTCCCTCTGCGTTCTGAGGGTTTCTCACGTGTTTGTTCCACAGATATATCGAGGCTTACACTAACCCGAATCTGACAACCTGGACGACGGATTACAAGCAGGTGCAGCCAAAGAACAACCTCACTGCTGCGTGCACGTGATCTGCTTACCTACATAACCACCGCCGCCGCCACCACCACCTTTACTGACTAGTCGTCGCATCCTCGCGCACTTCGCTCTCTGATTTCGGATACATACATATATACCTAGATACCTGCATTACATCTACCGGAGAAATAGTCGGGGGTGTATCCTGACGATCCCAGTCCCCCTTTGGAGACGGACGCATCGCATAGTCGCTACTGCCATTTGATGTATGAGGGTTCTCAACCATTGTGCGCGTCTCGAGATGATGTCCTGGCCGGCAAGGGTCTATGGTGCTAAATTTCCAATCGTTGGCGCTGCGGCTTCCATCTCCCCCCTCAGCCTGAAACCTAGTCCCGAGACACCTAGTGATTTTGGTGGTTTCTGGTGTGTATTCCCATCGCGGGCATTCGATTTACCGGTGTGCGCTCTGCAAGAGCCTGTATTTGCTGCCAAAGATCTCATTCCATCTCCCGTCTCATCAAGCTGAACGCCGCAACCCACCGTCATAGGCTACACTGGAATGGCTTGCCGGGTCTGCGCCCAATGCGTCTGATCCACAAGATTCGTTGAACTTTGTGATCCTATCGACATGAGATATTTTCTCCGGCCCTTATTCAGACGCGTATACGATCGGCTCAGGCGTATAGAATGAAATATCCCGCAGCGCATAATATGAGAACCCTAATGGTCCTCATAAGAACCCAGGAAAAAAAATGGGACCTACAAGCCCCTACTGCCATCCGTGGCTATGTCTAGTCAGGGCATTCGAGACGCAGACACGGGAGTGGGCAGTCTGGACGAGAGACGAGCTGATTGATATCAAGCACGCATTGAAATTTGTTACAAAGTCCCTCCGTACTGGAAGAGGGGGATTCTTTCAGAGCAGCGCCTCCTGTGAAAATGATTTCATAACATGTAGGTCCGAAAGACCTCCCAAACACTGAAGGATCGATGAATCTGTTGGTA